TGTGTGTGTGTGTGTGTGTGTGTGTGTGTGTGTGTGTGTGTGTGTTTACTCTGATGCAGCCATGCAGAAATAATTTATCCCTGTGGCAGCCATTTACTGTAGATCTGCTTTCTCCTTTAACACACACACACACACATACACAGATAAAGAATTCAACTCAAACTCAAAAAGATGCAAGAAGAATTTAAACAAATGGGCTAAGAAGGAGGAAAGGAGAAGGAGGGGGGGGTGGGATGGTTTGCTGTGTTAATGTTACTGTGAATAACTGAGGCCACATCTGAGTGGAGGGCAGATCTCTGCGTAATGAAAACATACAAAGAACAAACTTATTAGTAACCAGTGTTGTGTGAATGTCAGCAGCAGGTGCGTGTCTGTGTGTGTGTGTCATTGTATTCGGTTTAGGAGCATCACTTATTTTTAACTGTTTAACGAGTTGACTGTAAGTCTAGAGCGAACACTGTACGTCTATGAGCTCACTCAAACCTCCCCTCTGTGAAGTTTAACTATCAAAGTCCGTCTTTGAGGCACAACCAGGAAAAATTTGAGTTGAGGATCAGTACTTGAAGGTAATTGAAAACCAAAATAGAGAAGTATGGCAAAAGCATTTCATTTAGTTTTCTAGGAGTCGTCTTTATTCTTTCAGCCTGTCTCATCTTCTCTGCCCAAATTTCTGTCAGTTGCAGTAAAAATCAAAGGAAATATATTAAACATTATATTACTGAATAGCAGAAATAAGAATTCTCTGATCTCCACATGTCATGGATTTAAATCCCTGTTGGTTTTCCACTTGTTTAACAATGAGACTGAATAAAGGAGGGAGAAAGAGTGCGGTTATGCTCTGTCAATAAACTAAATACACACATTTTTATCAAGCACCTCATCAACAGAGTTGAAGGATTAGTTTATTTTTGTTAATCATATTTGTTAAGGCTTACTTACTGAGCCGCTACACACATAATAAATGTCTGTGCGGAGTGAGGCATGACATGCGAGCTGAGCTACGATGCAGCCCGGTCTTGCCATTGAACAAATAAACTATTTTAATCTGTAATGAATTTACATTTTAGAAATGTTTCTGTCCCGCAGGAGAGCCAAATGGGTTCTAATCTCATGTTCACTCATGCGAGTTAATCCGGGATGCATAAATGTCACCAATATTCCCAGATGCGTTATTGTATATTCATTCAGTGACCAGAGAAATCTTTGTCACCAGTCTTAATGTGATTTGCTGTCAATCCTCTCGTCCAGATAACTCCTGGGAGCAAGGCGGCCGGCGGCAGCCTGGCCCAGGGTGACATCATCTCAGCCATCGACGGTGTCAGCACTGAGGGGATGACGCACCTGGAGGCCCAGAACAAGATCAAGTCTGCCATCCACAAACTGTCGCTCACAATGCAGAAGTAAACAGCCAGCACATTCGAACTCGAACACGCAATCCCAAAAAAACTCGGGCAGTAGACACTTTTTCTGGAGTCATCAAATTTATAAAAGGCAGAGGGACAAATTAAAGAAGTCACAGTGTTGTGAATAACAACAGCTCACTTCTCTCCCGTGTATGTTTAACTCAGTTTCAAAATCAGTTGTATTTTCATCAAACCAGGTGTTAACTTCTACTGTGGAATCAGCTATTTTTCAGTAGTGGATTTAACATCACAGAGTCATAAAAGACAAGAGGAAAAAAAAACACATATCGAGTTAGGGAAGTTCTTTTTGAAAACATATGTTGTTTGATCTATAGATCAAGACGTCCTGCTCCAGTTCCCACGGCAACTCCAAGAATGGACTCACCTATGCCAGTCATCGCACACCAGAAGGTAAAACCACTGCTGCTGTGAAATAACACACAAACATGACATTTATTACGCATTATGTCTGCTGATAACCGATTTTTTCCACACATGCCCGTAATACCTGTTTGTATTCTTGTCTTGTGCATGTGTGTTTGAATGTCAGCGTATCTGTTCTGAGACGGGGACATCAGGCCTGAGTCCTGCTGCCCTCTAGTGTAAAATGGTAACAGTGCAAATGCAGAGATTGCTGCAGGAAGGTCATAAGTCTACAAACGCCAACTGAATGACACAACAGCTACCTTTAATCTAATTCAAAAGTTTTTTTTTTTCAATCTATACATCCATCTATCATGGCATTCTCCAATATTTAAGGTGGAACAGGAGGAGCTTTTTGCAGAAGTTCCAATTGGAGGAGCCAGGAACTTGAGGAATGCTCCAGGATAAAAGATCCTGCAAAAAGAAAGCTCTTCACACCAACAAGATCTACACCAGTGCAGCGGGGGCAATGCAGTTCCACTCGTGGACTTTACTCCCCTGAAACATTCAGAGCAATGGTGCATTTTCAGCGAAAGTTAGACCAGGGATCATCAACTGCTGAGAGGGTTTCTTCTTCTGGGGAGGTTAGCATGTTCTTGTCATCAACTGTCCAATATTAAGAGGGGATGACAATGCAGGACCAAGGAAGAGTGACACAAAATCAAGGCAGAAGACTGAAAAATGATTTTTACAAATTTCTACCTTTCATTTTGGGAGAATAGCTGCTCACCACCCCATTTTAGCAACACATTAGCTAAGCTATGAGTAGAAAATCTACGGGGAACTTTCCATTGCAGTGTTCATACCTCTCACACGTGGCACTATTTCAGGATCGTGCACACAAACATTTTGGCTGTGTATTCGGATATCAGAGTGGCAGCAGACTGGGCTCTTCCTAATCTTATCGAAAGGCATTTCTGATACTCTTTGCAAAAGGTCGAGTGGATCTAAGGGCCCCATTCAAACATTTCCTCTGTCTGATCAGAACATGATTATTTTTGTTTTAAACTCAGAGTAGATTTTTCTTTATGTTTGAAGATAAAACTTGAAAATAAATCACCTCTCTTGACATGAGGAGGCCATGTGAGAAATTATTTTCTCTTAATACCGAGTGGCCATCAGCATTCCTTCTTTCTTCAAAAAGTATTTTGATGTCATAAACTTGCAGTAAAATTCTGAGCAATCATGAAAAGTGTGATGCTACTGTCTAAATGTTAAAGTCCTTTTGTTGAGTCATGCTCATTTTTAGTTTGGTGTAACAGAAGACTGCTCTAAGTGAAATAGCAGAATAAAAACAGAAGTTCACAGATAAATATGTTGTTCTTTTTAATCCACATGATTGATCTACTGATCTGACTTTATCTCTGCTCAACCTTCTTTTGATAAGTGGCAATTGCTGGACATTGCGAATGTGTCAGGTCTTCAGAAAACAATGTTTGCACACTTTCTGCTGTCATAATATGGTGCAATGTCTGTTTTTCACATGTTACATCATCTGGATGTTTTTTTATTTTTTCTGAAATGTATTGACAGCAACAATAATGAAGCCTCCCTGAAACTGCCCCAAAATACGCTCGGAGCCTAGAAACTTTTTTTAAATTATCATACTTAGAGATATCATCACCATATTGTTGAATATCGCCAAAAAATTCATTTTTTTCCACACTGTCAGAAGGATTGGTGGGTATGGTTGAAAGCTTGTGACCTGCCGGGCCTCTGACATATCACATTCAGGTATCAGTCTCTGCTAATGTGTTTCCCCTGTGGAGCTGAACCGCTTTACATTAATGGTCAGGTGTCGGGAAACGTGCCCGGGGGCAGGGTACAGAGCGATGACGGCAGTGTCCCGCCTCGCTGAGAACATGGAGGTGCGCCCACAGGACACAGCAGCTGCTGCACACAGTCATGGAATGTTCTGCTCCGGTTACACACCGTCAAACTGAATCCCCTGAATACCCAACCTGAGATAGGACACCCCCCGTCTGTTGGGAAATGTCCTCTGTGCAGGATGTTTCCCTTTAGCCCCTGTACCAAGAACACGTCGATGTGTGGTTTACACAACATAGCAGAGTGGAATTTAACAGATTAACGCAGACAAAGGCAACAAAGACAATTTGACAGCATTCCCCTCCATGTCTCCAAACTCCAGTCTGATGTTTTGAACAGTGATGGTCTAAAATAGCTTCTAAAACCAGGCAGGAATTGCATGTCAAGATATGACTTGATTGATTTCTACTGTGCGTTTATTCAATTCAATGTATTTAATTTTGTCCCTGGATCATGCTGTACGATTGTGTTTAGTTTTTTACTAGGATCCTGTCAATTGTTGGAATGCTCAGACACATTATCCAGATTTATGAAACCCAATTTTTTTAATGATATTTTTTCACTTACAACTCCTAGTTATGTTCTTTGGTCTCGAGGAAAAGGGAATTGCCACAAATATAAATTTTTACATTTCTTCTCTTCTCCCCCAGATGTTTTTACTTGTAGCCAAACAAACGTTAGCAAGGCACAGTAGTTGGAAGTAGATGTGTAGAGGGAGCAGTCCATAGAGGAAGGGACTCCCATTTTAGCATGCAATGCAATGTGTTGCTGTGTGTTGACATTTTTATAGCTGTTAGACAGTATGAAAGGTCTAAAGAAAACACAGCCGCAATGCGTCCTGATCAAGAATACATATTAGAGGCCAATTAATTTGTGGGCACTGACTTCATGACCTCATGCTGCAACAGGTCTCATTTGTTCACAGTAGCACAAATATTTCCTCTCCGAAATCTAAATTAAGGCTTCGATCGTTAAAGTGCTCAAACATTTCTTTGTTTTAGTTTTCCAATTTCCCTGTGTTGTACTTTCCTGTTGAAACCAATAAACTGAACAGCAAAGTAAAGTAAAGTTTGCTAAAAGTTTGCTAGATATAACCTTAATTGTTGTTATAATGGAACAAGTATCTCAGATATGAAATATTTTACTTAGTTTTGTTTTCTGTGGTCATAGAGAAAATGTCATGGCCTCTCATGTAGCTGGATCTTTTGTGTTGTGTTATTTTTGTGTATATTTTTGTCTGTTCTGTGCTAAATGTGTCTTTGTAAGCCCCTGGTCCTGTGTCATGTGACTAAGACACTTTTGCTCTTGTCAGTCACTCCTGGGGATGAGGGGGGGGGGAGTGGGGAAATATCCCACCGATGATAAATGACTGCTATTCTAATATGTACATGGAATATGGGATTACAGAGGGCCACTGTGGTTGGATAGTTTCTTCCAACAATTGCAGGGCTATTGTTATCCTCATTTGTCTCCAGGGATTCATTCAATTCTCTCCTTCTTTGTCTCTTCCTGTCTGTCTGTCTGTTCCTCTGGTGTGTTTCAGGTCATTGCAAACACAGCAGCAAAGTCAGTACATCCACTTTCTCTGCAGTTGATGTGCATGGCGTAAACCTCTGTAGATAGCATGAAAGCACATGAAAGTGTTTAGCTTTCTGCTACTGGTAATAACGGTGTGAAGTGAAGTGCTCAGCATGGATTCATGTGTATTCAGGCCCAGTGTGGAAGCATGGTGGTGTATAGATCGCTTTCATTATTTTTACTTTATCTAAACTAACTCAAAGCGGAAAATACCATTTGATTTATTAACAGAATCTGGTCCCCAGTTGTACAAACTAATCAAAAGTAGCCATTTTTTAAAGCTTTCTATTATTCACTGGAAGCTATTGCCCCTTATTCTTTAGCCCACTTGTTTTTTAAGTTGACTTGACAGTATCGGTGTCATTTACATACAAAACTGTATCACACAAGAAAAGTTAGTACTTTAATTTACCATGCAATCACTGCTTCTTTTCCTTGGTTCATTACCTATTTATATCTGCCTCTATTTATCATATCTGGTGGTCCTTTTCACAGTGTACCATATCTTACTGAATGCACATGCATGAGTGATAGTTTTCTGTGTGCATATTTTACATCCATCCCCGACAGTAGTAGCCCTCCTGTCAGCTTTAAGCAAACAATTTTGTCCCCATGGTAACGCTGCTTGAAAAAGGAAACACTGACACGTCCTGCTTTAGCCTAACTTTGATCAGGCTAACTGTTTTCTTTCTGTTGTGTCCCACTCTCTTTTTCCTCTTTACTCTGTTAACATCTTATGTCCAAACCCTTGACAGTGTGGAGTACACCCCCAGCTTCAACCCCATAGCCCTGAAAGACTCTGCCCTCTCCACCCACAAGCCCATTGAGGTGAGGGGTCCAGGAGGAAAGGCCACCATCGTTCACGCCCAGTATAACACACCAATCAGCATGTACTCACAGGACGCCATCATGGACGCCATTGCAGGACAATCGCAGGCTAAGGGTCACGAAAGGTGAGATCACTCAGATAAAGAACTATTTCTCATCTTCTCCTCATTAATTGACTTTACACCACACCACATTCAGTCGGCTCACCCAAATTATAAATCTTTGTATATTCTCTGTCTTTTCATTGCTTTCAGTGAGAGCTTATTTTACTTTGTCATAATACACATGATGGAACCAGTTTATTTTCTGGCAAAAACTAAAAAATTTTTTGCCATGATTTAAACATTAGTGGCTAAGTTCACAAATCAGCTCAAAAGGCACCCACAGGGTGACAGTATATTGCCTTTATTAAACAATTTCTCGTTTTGTGACTCGCCACTTCAAACATTGAGCGTTTTCTAAGACCACCGTTATACTTACAAAGCTACAACTATTGTTTCCTCTGCCTTCATCTTTAATTTAAGAAAAGCTTCTTTGAAGTCCTCATTTTCATTTTTTAACACACATTTTGACATTCTAAGTTTATTGGTGTTCCCATTGTGGTAACCTCCTCTAACAAATGGAGAAGATGAAAGAGTACTGTGTGCATGTAATTAAAAACACAACTGGACAGGTTTGTTTAATTCATGTTTAAAGATCAAGTACAATTCGAATGTATTTGAATATATACACTGAATATATTTCATCATGCCAAATAAATGTAGAAGAACAAAATATTTCTATATCCCTATCCACCATTCTAGATTACTTCAAGTGAAGGATTAAAGTCAAAACACTGACTTATTTTTAATGCTTCTGGTGCAAAACTTAATAATAAAAAAAAAACACAAAAAGATTAATAAAACCAAAAGTTGACGGATTTCCTTTGCAGGATTTGGGTGAACTGGCCTTTTAGGATTTCCAACAGTGGAGCTGTTCCGCATAAGTCAAAGAGCCAATATAATGCTGTTGTACAGGTTCAGGCTTTCATATTTTTGGGGGTTTACTACTGTAGATGTAAATTTTTAAAGTCCCAACTCCAGTTTATTTTTCTCCTATAATGCCTTACTGGAGGATTTATGGTAGACTTCCTCCTGGAAATGTTGAGTTTTATCTCTTTTCTTGATTTATCAAAATGGTGAACTGGGAGGCACCAGGCAAGCAACATGCAAATATGTGGATAAGTGCAGCAAAGATAGGGTTGAAAAACAAGATATTCAGGCAGGTATTGAGCAGTGACTTTTGTGGGACATGAAAAAACTTGATGTGTACACTTTAAATTTTGAAACAACTTTGTAAAAACCTTATGTGAGACACTGCTTAAGAGGGAGTACCCCAAAAAGTATGATATAGTCTCGAAAGCCTTCGCTGCTACCTAGTTTGTTTACAGTAGAGTTTGGCTTTTCTTTGTTGTCTTTGTCTGTGCCATCGACTCCTCGGTGCCTTCACCCACTTTCCTCTGCTCATTCCATCCGGCCGCCCACACTTGTGCTGTCCTTCACCCATCTCTCCCTATCCCTCCCTCCTGATCGTGACCTCAGTGAGGAGGCAGGCTCTCCCTTGGCGTAAGTATAGCAGCATTGCTCTTCCATCCTGCCTCTAACTGCACATTTCTTTGTCTCATGACTTACCAGCTTGTGCATTGCTCCATATAAACTAATCTAAAGTTTCTTCCTTAATTGAAATTCCTTCTGCATCACTGAGTTCACCTTTTTTGTTCATGTCTTATAGATCATATTATGAGAGTATTATGGATAAACTTGCTAACCATGGTCTTAGTTTCCTGTGTGGAAGTACCCTCTCTGGTACTTCAATCAAAGTGTGAAGTGCAACATGTATTTACAGTTTTAAATTGGTTTGAAACGTGTGAGATTTCATCTGAGGGAATTTAATGGCATGAAAATGAAGTGTTTGCAGGATTTAAAAAAAACACTGATGATGGCACTGACTCACTTTCTAATATTAATTCATCAATGCAATGAGAAGTCACAATTCACACATCATTTTGCTCGGAGATCACTCTGATTCTTACTCTTAGGTCTAACACTCTTTAGGGAGACATTATGGTGCATGGGAGGGAAAACTGTATATTTGAACACCTGTTCAACTCTAAAGAACCGTTTAAATGCACCAAAGTAAAGTTTTAGGCAACTCACAAAACAATATATTGTATTATTAACTTTAGAAAAACACAAAATAAAAATAAAATAGCTGTAAAATAAAACCAATGCCTATTGGGTTTAACACATTTAGATGATCTGTTTTTTATTTGGTTTACATTTGTTATAGACCTCATACATTCTGACGTCTACATGTACCCTCTAACCAACAGTGGAGCGCTGCCCATCAAGGAGCCTGTAGTAGACTGCGCCTCTCCAGTTTACCAAGCAGTGATCAGGCCAGGAGAGACGAACCAGGACATGTCCGAGTGGGCTCGCCGTGCTGCCAACCTGCAGTCTAAAAGCTTCAGGATCCTGGCCCACATCACTGGCACTGAATACAGTCAGTACCCACACTCCTCATTTTATATCTCCCCTCTTATTTCCTTTCCCAGTTGTAAAACAAACCCCTCTATTTATTCTAGCACACTTAGTTGTCATCTCCTTATTGAGTTGGTATCGAACTCTCTTTTCCATTTCTTCCCATGCAGTGCAAGATCCAGATGAAGAGGCACTTCAGAGGTCGAGGTAAGAGGGGCCTTTTAAAGAGGAAGGATTCATCTTCTTACTTCAGTGTGCAGTCACACACGTTCATAGAGAAGGATAAAAAAGAATCAGCTGTGACTTTTATGTCTCACAAAGGAAAGGTTTGAAAGAAAACCATTAATCCTAACTGACTAAACAGCTTGTGTAAAGCTTATTGAAGTCATTTCAAGGCTTTCAAGGCTTGTCAATGTGTTTCAATGATCATTTTTGTGTTAATATTGTTCATAATAATAATTCAACTTATGCAGTTCTGCTTCATAAACTTCCCTCCTAGTAAAACGTTTTTATCATGTTTATAAAAGCGTTGTGTTTGCACCAGATCTAACAGGTTTGTCTCCCTCACAATCAGAGAGAAGTTTGAGTCAGAGGTCAAAGGGCCTCGCTTCGCCAAGTTGAAGAACTGGCACCAGGGACTGTCTTCACAGATCCTCAACATCCAGGAATAATTGGGGAAAGGAAATGCAGAAAGAGGAAGCATAAGAGATGGGAGGGGGACATGCAAACATGGGCAAAAGTATAAGCATTAACAGGAAGAAGTGGTAAATTAGGGCAAGAAAAGTGAGCAGGAGAAGGAGGAAACTCCTCAGGAATGTGAAATAGATGTTGCCTAGATTAGTAGAATGTGAGACAATAATTGTTAGAGTGAGGATGCTATGTGTTTATATGCTCCCATGTCAAATATATCTGTCTGCTGCTAAGACCTGATCTCACATTTGGGTTTGTTTTTTTTCTTTCCTCTTTGTGACTTCTCTGTCTCTTAAATTAAAGGGAAATTGTACAAAAAATACGTATTTAAGTGAAAATGCAGAAAATATGTTTATCTTATGCGCCAGAACCTGTACCACATGCACAAATGTATGGCTTTTGACACAATGAGCATATTTGTCAAATGGGACACTAGGAGAAATACACCCAAAGAGGTTTATCTACATGCACAACTACAATATGTAAAAAAAAAAAACAGAATGCACTCAAAAAATGTACTGTTATCAATGTGTGAATAAAAATGTGAATAAAAATTTTCTTAAATCGACACGAGTGGTCTGTTTAAATACAAGCAAACTCAATCTTTCCTGGTGAATATAGTTGCAAACTATGTATGAAAACACACTACAGAGAGAATAGAGTCCCACAGATAACCTTCTCACAGAATTGTGCTGAGGCATGAGTTTTAAATCAGTGTTCTTTTAACATTACTGCTCACAATCAGAGGAAAGAAGACCAAACTTTGGTTTGAAATGCATGTATAAACATTGCAATTTTCACAACAAATTCGCTCAAATAATTCCACAATAAATTATGTGCAGTTACCATCAGAATGCAATGCAGCTATGTCTAGTATTTTCAGATTCATGAACCAATGCAGACAGGATAATGACTCAGCAACAATTGTTTGTCTCTTAACCTTTTTTTTTATTACCCTTGGATTTAAAAAAGTTGTCATTATGAGACTAGACCTAACCTAATGTCACACATTAGTGTCATTGTTGAGCTCCATGATGATGAGTTGACACATCTGAGAAACAAGGGACAGAAGGAAGAGGGCAGCTATGACTCATTCAGGTAGGGATGACCAAGCATTTTTGCTCCCAAATTGACTTAAGGGATGCGGATGCTGTCCTTGTGTCTCAGGATTGAATATAATCCATCACATTAAGGCTCAACTCACTTGACATTTCTGTCAAAACAATTTATGCGAACGCCTTGAACAGTAATGTACCCCACAAGAAAATAGAGTGAAATCTACGGCACTGAGAAAAATGACAATACACTGACAAAGCGAGAGGAACTGCATCATTGGGCAAAGCTGAGTGATGTGTATGACTATATTTCACCCGTAGCATGAGATGAATAAAAAAAAATCCTCTGTTGGTTATGTAACAGTGCACAACTCAGCATCCAGACAGGCGTCATCAGTGAAACATGCCAGTCAAAATATGCAAACAGAAAGATCGAGGCTGAGCTGAGCATGAGCGAAGAACGATGGATGAGAGTGGAGGGATGGTCGAGGGGCGGGGTTGCTGCATGGCTTGAAAAATGCTGCAGCATCCAGCCATCGCTACTCCTCCTCCTCCTCTTCCCTCCATCCCGCGCACAACGTCTGTTTCCTCCTCCCTCCTTCTCTCAGTCTGCGCGCTGCGGCCCTGCTGTGCATTGCTCTCAGCCCTCTGTTGGAGCACCGAAGAGGGGAGGAGCCAAAAGCAAACGCGCACGCTCTGACACATACACTGACTCCTCACATCCCTCCTGCACACTAACCGTAAGCACCAGCCAGCACAGCCAGCCAGCCAGCCAGCCAGCCAGCCAGCCAGGCCCATTTGGAGCAGGGGAGCCCAGCCGTCTTGTCGCCCACAATGGATGTACTGATGAAGGGGTTCTCCATGGCCAAGGAGGGGGTCGTGGCCGCCGCGGAGAAGACCAAAGCAGGCATGGAGGAGGCAGCTGCCAAGACCAAGGAAGGGGTGATGTATGTAGGTACGTAACACCATTCATTTTCAGTTCAGAGTGGCACGATAAAAAAAAAAAAAAGAAAAAAATCTATATTTTATGGGAGGAGAGGAGGAAATATTAATATTATTGTGTAACGTCCAAATGCCTTGTTTATTTCTGCATCGTGCGGTATGAGATTCCATGGGTGTCCGTGTCTGGGACATGAGGAGTGAATGGATCAGAGAGAGGAGGAGGAGGATGAAGGGGAAAGAAGCGAGCGCTGGAAACATACTGCTGCAGAAATGCTGCAGGATAGAGGGTGTGGAATCTGTAAGTGTGACGGATGGATGGATGGATGGATGGATGGATTGATAGAACGGAGGGTAGATGGAAAAAGTTGTGGCTGGACGGGAACAGAGATGGTTACTGGTTCATAAAGGATAGAAATTAGCACCAAAGGAAGAGAGAATAAAAGACAAGAGAGGCACTGCAGAGTCCTGTGAACGTGCTTTTATCACCGGCCCAGCATTATTTACGATCGGCGGCTTGTGGAGCGGATTGCAGAGACACATTCGTGATCAAGCCTTGCAGCAAGGCCCCTGAAAGTCATCCACCTGACCTACATTTGAGAATACACATCATGCATAAATCCCATTCTGAAGATAAAAGCACAGATGTTTTAAAAACGAATGAAAGCGCGGCGGCAGATAATTCATATGCATCCACGTTTTTTACAGCAGTATTTTGCTGCTGATTTTTTATCCTAGCCAAAGCAGCAACTGCGTCAGATCTCAAGGTTAGTCCACCGGAGAGGGGGAGCAGAGAGGAGGGGGTGGAAGCGGAACTCCTGGTCTTCGTGTGCAGCCCATCCTCTCAGCGCTGAGGCTGACGTCACGCCGCAGCTTCTAAATCTACATCACCAGGATGAAGAAAATGTGCTCGCAGCAGCCAGTGCCAAAGGCCGGCAGAATAAGAACTGAGCGTTGAAGGGAGCGTAACAATGATGTTCACACTGTAATACAGATGAGGATAGCTTGAGTCACTTTGGCACTGCAGCAACGTGCTCACCCACCCGTCCTCTTGCATATGGCCGTAGTATTACTGCCTGCTGGTTGATGGCTAACCCCTATTGTCCATCTAGAGCTCTTAGAATAATCCCCCCACCCCAGGAAAAGAAGGTGGGATGCTGGGCCATGGCGGAGAGAGGGGAGGGGTGTTATGTCACATAAAGCTTTGAGCCTGTGGTCCCGTGGCTCCCGGGTGAGCACACGCAGGGACAGGAAGAGGAGGGTCGGTGACACCGCGGGATTACGGGAATGGCGGAGCCGGGAACCATACCTGGATTTTTCAGAGGGGGTCGGGACCGGGGATAAGCTGGGAGATGAGAAAATGTAAAAGCAGATCACAGGAGTAGGAAGAGAAAAGGGAGCGGAGATGTGATCGCTGAGGTGAAGAGGGTTGATGGCCCTGATCAAATCACTGTGTCTGCCTGCAGCCAAAAGCCCACATCAGCATGTGAACACACAGTAACAAAGTCTGCACACCTGCTCCCACACAGAGGGGAGATCTGGACAGAAAGCAGGACATCAATAACCAATATAGTTCATTTGCTGTGTATGGATTGACCACTGATGCCTATTTAGGACTTAAAGGTACATAAAAAAACATTTCTTTACGATCCACTAATAAATCAGTTATGTAGACTTCAGCCCCAAGCTGACTATCTTTGGATTTTTTTAAAATATACATATACATACATTTACATGTATATGTATACATATATACAGTAAACATAAATTAGTTTTGATAAGACCTATCAGAGCTTGTACCTAATCATCCCAGATAAGAGCAAATTGTCTTCTGTTTTAAATGATTTTTCATGATTGATTTAAGATGAACAGTCTAGATTTCTTTCAGCTTATTACTAATGACTAGTATCATTAGTAATAATAGTAGTAATAGTAGTGTCACGTCTTTGCTGGACTCCCAATGTTTAGTAATCTAAATGAGTCTAAATGTAATATAAGCAAGCTTTTTCTGAGTCTCCTTGCTCTTTTTCTTTTGTCATCATAGAAACATTTTGTGCGGTATCGTGGTAGGCAGGTTCAAATATAGACACGAGCTCCCTCGGTTGACCGAGCAAAAGAAGCTGTGTCACTGCAGTACGTGTGTGCTGTCCTGCAGTGCTGCTCTGTACTCAGGCACGTGGCTTGTGTACCACAGAGTGTGCGCAGAAAAGACGGAGGGGAGCAGGAGGCGGCGAGAACGGGTGGATGGTGGAACATGTTAATGATAGAAGCTGCATCTGTGTGATGCAGTCCAAAGGAAATCACGCTCAGATCGCTGTGACTGGTGTTGTTCTGCATATCTATTCTCCCTCCCACCTCTGACTTTCATCTTTTAGAGCACAGATTTCCCTCCTTTCACCCCTTCTACTCTGTCAGATTATGTAACCACAGTTTAATCTGCTCGGGATCATCCTGTAATAAGCACAGCACTGGGCATCACCGGGGAATTTAGAAAAATTCTATAATGTTTTCCATAAAAAAAAGATAAGTTATAATTTGCTTTTGAAAGCTACTAAAAACGTCAAATTCTGAGATCTGGGTGGAGATTATCATGTTGATTATGGTGATGCTGATAGGTTGCTTATGTCAGTGTATAAAGGAGCATCAGCAGCTCCAAAATATCTAAAATGAGAAGTGAATGCACTAATACAAATCTATACTATTGCAAATGTGTAATTACTTTTATTCTTTGTCTAAATAAGGATGAAAATAGAGAAATGACTATACTTTTATATAAAGTGGTGATTGTAATTGTGCATAACACAACCATTTTCATGTCTAAAACATTTGATTTAGTGAAAAAATTAATAAAGCACACCATCAAAATCATCTTCATGTAATAAGTCAGATTTTCCCTTCTCTCTCAAAGTGAAGAAGTTCTGTCGATGAATTGGATCTTTTTCTTTGGTCTGCAGGAAGTAAGACAAAGGAGGGAGTTGTGTCATCAGTAAACACAGGTAAGAAAAGCTCTGTGCTTTAACCCTGTTGGGAACATTGGTTACATTAATCCCTCTGCACAAACGTTATTCTCCACTGGTGTGGACCTCACATACTGACATCCCCCGTTCATAAATGCATGATTTATTGGTTCAAAACTGACACTTAACAGGTCAAAACAGTGTGGTTGAGTGTTTTATGGATGAAGTAAGATGAGGTATTCTTGTTGGCTTTTAAGTCACACTTTGGCATTCCTCAGCTTTCATTAATATTCATTAATAGCCGATCTTTGAGGTTGTTGCTTCTTCCTGCTAAGAGGCTCTGAATCATAATAGGAAACAACAATAAAGCAACTATTTGATCTTACATATGTAAATCCTTGCTTTCAAAAATACAATAGACACAAAAGTCTAGAGTATATAGTGTGTTATTAAATTAATTCAATGTACAAACTTTGATGACTCAAGTTTATCATTATATATTGTATATTATCATATCCGCCTGTACCTGAGATGAACTATTTGTTGCTGTAATTTCTCGTTCTGCGCAAATGTGTGGGTTTAATGACTGCCCTCCCTCCTCAGTGGCCAACAGGACTGTGGACCAGGCCAACATTGTTGGCGACACGGCAGTTGCTGGGGCCAACGAGGTGTCGCAGGCGACTGTGGAGGGTGTTGAGAACGTCGCTGCATCAACCGGTCTGGTCAACCAGGTCAGTTACTATGGTAACGCTGCGCTGAACCATGTGACCCACTGACTTGTTTTTCTCTAGATTGTAAAGCTGTATTAATAAAAAAATATATCAATTGAAAGGCAAAAAAACTGTACATTTGATTCTGCCTAAAAGGTACATTACAGTTTTTGAACTGCTAGTTTGACAGCAGCCAGCAGGTGAAGCTGTTTCCACAAATGAAACACAAAAACCAGCTGAGCATGGAGCTACAGTTCATATGTGTGTGTCTGTGTGTGTACTAGTGTTTGTTCTTATGTGCTCTTCTTTAAACAATGGTCACCAATATAACTCATTATACAGATGAAATGAAAAATACTTGTTTATTCACCTCTCTGGCCCCTCTGTTGGATGTTAAATGTGCTTACATTTAACATTTGTGTCTTGCATGCCTTTTAGAGTTTTTCTGTATCAGTTCTCGTGAATCTTGTGTTGTGAACCGTTGTTGTGTTGTGGTGCTGTTCTCACCTTTTGTTTTTTATATTGTTTTTGTCTGGTTTGTGTTTTTCTGATAGGAGGAGCCTGTATACGAGGTGCCTATTGGACAGAGCAAAAGGGGGTTCATAGGTCATCCAGGGGTGGGCTAGGGTGAAGGGGGGACAGTTAGAGTATGCTCTGCATGCACGGAAGATGTTATTTAAGGTAGACCTGTGGAATCTAATTTAATACGTCTGCAATACACAATTTTCTCGTGTAAAGGTAAGTAGGGTGTATTGCAGGGCCTTTGAATTAGATTACACTGGTCTGAGTTTGTAATGGTTATAGTACACAAGAAGCGAGTATCTGGAGGGAAAATGAGAGTCAGAGGCTGTAGAATTTTTGGCTTCATAGAAAAAACTTTCATTAAAAAATACACAACAATATCTTTCAAAGATTGTTTAAAACATTTTCCTCTGTGATGCTCGCTACTTTGTGAGGTTTAGACAACAGTAGTACTAAAATTCCCCATTTCTAACCATATAAACCCTGAGTTGATAAAAAGCCCCATTCTTTGCTCACTGGAGCAGAAACCACATCAGAAATGCTTTTCATGCAGCCCGGGCTGAATGAGGCCTTTACACCCGAAGCCTTGCTGGTCCTTCCAAAGTTTTATAAGCCAGAAAGCTTTAACCAACTAACTGACCTCCTGTAGTGTCTCAAGCATGTTAATGGGAACTGATTTACTTGGCAGCATGTCATTTAGTGCGTGTCCAAACCGGTTTATTGAACTAAAGCTTGGCAGTTGTTGAGGTCCTTGATGCTGCCCCTCACTTCATTCTTATTTCATTGCCGTCAAATTCAGCCTTCTTGGACATACTGCCTAGATTAATTCCTGTCTTCTTACACAGGGAGAGTATGGAGGAATGGAGCAGGGCGGGGAAGGAGGAGAGGTAAGATAACAAGTTTGAGGAGATGTCAGGAGCTTAATCATTCAATCTTCTGCTTGTTTCATTCAGCTAGGTGTAAAGTTCGTGCTCTGTGTAAAATTGGATTTAGTCAATTTCAGCCAAATCCTGGCCATGAATTGCCCGCTGTTTTGTTCTGATATTGTCAAAACACAAACATATCATAAGCAGTTGTATCCCACTAAAAGAGTTTTGGTTTTTGGTTAATAAATAAATAATATTCCATTGATTATATTTATGAAGATGCCTGCAAATAGACTGACAGAAAAAAGCAGTTACTGTTTAATAAGAACAAATTTTGTTCAAATCTCTGAAGTATTCGCTGTAAAACTTTTCTCTTCTCTGACAGTCTCCCCCTCCTCTTTCTTCCAGGGATATTAGTCATCTTCAGGACCCTCCGACTGCCCCTCGCCTTCCTCTCCTCGCTGTACCAGACTCCAGATGTCCGACATATTTTTTTGTGACTTTACAGAACCAAATCAACTAAAACAGACTCTTCCGGATGCTGCACCCCAGCCCTCTCCCTGATGCCCCCCCCCCCCCCCCCCCCATCCCCGTCCCCTGCCACCTGTCCTGACCCTCCTTTTCCCCTTCCCTCTCATTTTCTGCAGCCTGTAGCTTTTCCCTCCACCACCTGCCCTGTCCCTGGCTCACCTGTGTGTTATTGTTGTCCTGCTATGAACCTTGGTGTTGTTGCCACCCCACGCCTGCCAACCCGTGGAGACATCTCAAACACAAACACACACGTTCACCCAAACTATAAGAGGCAAACCTGCTTAGGGGGCATGCATGAAACACTCACATACAGTACATACCACAAATGCTAGCACAGACCACACGCTGGGCAAAGGAACACCATTTGGAGTTGAAATTCTTCACAAAGAGAATTTGCTCCACTGGAAAACAAGAAATCATCGGGCCCCAAAAAGGCTTTGAGGTGGTGTCTGCAGACCGTGTGTCTGTGCTAGCCGGTATGCATGTGTAGCTGCTGGAGTACACAACAGATCTCTTGGGACTAAAGCAGGGAATTGTACACTGAGGATAGATTTCATGTGCAGTTGTTAGTTACAGCATGAGCAGATGGTGTGTGTCGTTAACTGTAGAGTAGCAGCTGTTCTTTGTAGCTTCATAAAGCTTGGTGTGGTCCGCGTGGTGGAAGTGATAAACGTTGCTCATTCATCTCGTCTCAAAAGCAAGAGCTCTCTTCAAAGTTCCCTCTGAAAAACTGAGAATTTCAGAAGTTCGGCTGGAGGAGGAAGACTCAACAATCAGTAGCCGTTCTGCTTGAAGTTATGGCTCATAGTATGTGTATGGTCACTGTGACGTTTGGGCTCCACAAGTTGAATAACTCCCCCCATAGTCCCCCTGTAACCTTGAATAATCTTTTCAGTGTGAACAACTTAGTGGTCCAAAGTTGCAGACTGGCCCATTTTGTCCTCAAAGACAAACAACATCCGTTCAAAATTCTAATCGATAGCCAATAACAAACATAATGTCGTTGAAGGAGGAAACAAAAACCACCTTCAGTTCTCGTGTGGCTGCTTTGTGAAATTGGGTTGCATGCTGTTAGGAGAAACAGGCAAGTGAGGTGTTTTGGTGCTTTTGTGATTTAAAAATGATGCATTCATAGATGTCATAAGATGGCTATAGAAGATAACTAAAGGTTCCCCCATAGCTCAGCTTTGTGTGTAGCTCAGATTTTGGTATATGTAGCTCTTTTTAGGATATTTTTTAGTCTGACTATCCTGAAGCTCCCGGCCCGTGACCGTCTCAGCCAATACGACGCTTCCTCCCTCCTGTCAGCCGGTGTCATGGCGCCTTTCGAGGCGAATGTGAACAGCAGCAGCGTGTGTTTCCGTATGTGCTGTATGTGTTTGCGTGCATGTGTGTGTTATCATAGAACAGTTCCAGCCAGCAAAGTGTGCGTGTATGTTTGGCTTGAGCTGGTTTGTGTGTGTTTACTTTGAAGCCAATTAAAACTGATGACTGCATGTTGCCTTATCAAGCAATCTTACATTCACACACACACACACACACTAACAGAGACAGCATACTACACAACACCTATACTGACAAAAGTGCAGAGCTCACTCGAAACATGCAAACACTGATCCCTCCACGAATACACCAACACAAATCACGCACCGTGTTTAATTTGGCATCAAATCAGACTCGCTGATTTTATAAACTGTACCAGTGGAAATAAAAAAGTTTTGTTGAAATCCAGCAGCGGTGGTGAGATGTTATTTGACAATGTGAAGAAAGCCTGAGCTGTTCTGACATTAAAGGCAGCAGCAGCCTCTGAATTTCTGAGACAAATGCAATAGTAACGGTTACATTTTAGTTGTGTTACATTTTATAATTAATTTAGGCTGACTGCGAAGTGCGTGTACGTGACCTTTTATTTATGAGTGGGAAAAGAGACAAACAGTTTTATTTAGCAAAAGTGTGAACTGGATCATTTTCAATATGATACAGACTTGTCAAATGCTTTCATTTATTTCTCTTGCATCTTCCTAACAGAATTAATTTGTTATAAAGTCAAATCCAGCTGATCTACTAGGAATTTTCCGGTTGCAGAGACGTTCAGTCTGACAGTTAGTGATTTCTTTGATATTTCAAACGTTTGAAATACTTTGGGACTTGTTGGATCATATCCAATTCCATCACCATGTCAAGAAGAGACAGTCAAGCAAACATGGTGAGGCAATTTCAAGTATTTTGTTCATCTCTGCAATAAAAATGGTAGGAAACAAGTGGTTAGATTATTTTTTTTGTCCAAAAGCATGGGCTATTAATTGTTTACCAATTCAAATTAAATGTACTGAAGATCAAGATAACAAAGATTGAAATAAAAAAATAGCTACATAAGGTGATTCCTTATACCTAATATGGTCAGGATTGAGCTTTTAACCTGCTCTTACAGGATAATAACAGAGGTCTGAATGACATAAAAAGGCAAATGGAGGCTAAAATAAAGGAAATTGAAGCAAAGTCTTCATCTCAAGGCTTAAATTTGTCTTTTAAGAATGATCTTCTCGCTAACATCACAGGGGATTTTTTTAGAGAGTGAAAACAACATCTGCCTTTTTCTGAATGTTTTATTGGTTTCCAAAAAGTGACAAAACAGAAATAAAAAGTTATTTCCTCCAAAATAATTTCAATGCTGAAGAACAGGACGGTTAAAACTGAGGAAAATCCCAACAGGGATCGGGCGGTCACAACACACCTCGCCCCAGTTCTGCTTCTCTTTCTTGGCCAGCGGAGGAGTCGGGGGAGAAGCTGCGATCAGGATGAAGCGAAGGATAAAGTGGAGAAAGGAAGAAGACGACGGGAAGCAGAACATCTACTGTGAATGATTACAGTAAAAACATTTGCTATGAAAAAATAAGCCTGGATACTTCACAGCTAATCGTTACACTTTAAGAGGGCGAGGACAAGCTAAAATAACATGTTTCTTTTGTTCTCAGAGTTAAGCCCAAATCCCTCTTTAACTGAATTAGACTAAGGAGGCCATCCCCCTTTTAGGGCAGACCTCCTTCTGAATAAGGCATCTGTAGTGCTGTCAACAACTCCAACTGGAGGGTCACACATGCATTCAGCGACCACAGTGAACATGGCTGCCATGAAATCAACATTAAGGAAACGGCCGAGTGACGGCTGGGTCCTTCGCTCTCTCTGTGGGCGAGTCTAAGCAGAAACAGGAACATGGCATTTTAACAGAACTGCCGAAATAGAAGAGCAGCACAGAGATCACAGGTTAAATATCAGGCGAGCCGATGTGGCGCTAAATGTGTGTGAAAGAGCCAGCGAGCAGCGAGCGGTAAACAGTGATATGTTCAGAAGGCTGTTTGAGGAGGTAGAGGGAGAAAAGAGAGGGGGGGGTATAGCAGGAGGATGGAGGAAGGGATGGCAGGGCAGGGCATGACGGGCCGCTTATGTGAAGGTCAGCCCAGCCTCATTGTAGACTTTGAAGACCTTCTCGATGGCGTTGACGTAGGCCGCCGTCCGCAGGTCCAAGCCCAGGTTGTACTTGCTTGCTGTGCGCATGATTTGCTGCAGAGGAAGAAGATGGAAACTTTTAAGGCTTGCTGGCTCGTGGCTTGCTGACAGGGATCTACAAATATTAAAGACTGGATATCCACATTTTCTTTGGTAGGGTCCAGTGAGCCCACTTTTATTGTAAACAAAGTATCAAAACATCTGGTGTCTGTTAAAGCTTTTAAATATCATTGAAAAAAATAAATTAAATCAAATTGAACATAGTTGGTAGAAATAATTCAAACAACACGGACAAACGGCGCTAACTTACCCGGGCAGATCTCTCCATTGTGTAAGCCAATCCAGAGTGAACAATGTCCTTCTCAGAGGCACCCTGCAAAGGATTATTCTACATTAACACAGTCCTGGAGAGACATCTGGAATGTACTGAACCTAAAACTTTGAATGGCAATTCTCAATAGTGAACAAAGTTATATTCAAACCTTTATTATGTTCTCATGCATTTATCAATCTTTTTCTTTTAAAATAGAAGGAAATCTTTTTTAAATGTCCTCCTAAAACTCACAGCAACTCTGGCCTGGAAGTCAGCAGTGGGCACGATGGGGATGGGTCCTCCCTGCTTGCCAAACTTCCTCTCTAAGCTCTCCTGCACAGACACTGCAGAGAAAAGAGAAATAAGGGATGATACCACGTGATGGCATTTTGTGATGTTTTTCATGCCCATCTTAATGTTCCACTAGTTAGAATAGATCAGAATTCAGTTAAAACCAACAGCTTTTTTTTTTTAACTCACTGAGCAGGTGGTAGTTTGAGTCTCTCTCATATTTGAAGGTCAGTCTTCCATAACTGACATGGTTGAGATTCTTCAACCACTCAAAATAAGACACTGTAACACCACCAGCGTTCAGGTACATGTCCTGGAAGAGGAAGTCAAGAGTCAGACGTGTGTCCATCTGGAGATGTGCTCACTACTCTATTGAGATTCTTCTCAAGAAAATCATCTTCCTTTTTTAGAAAAAAATTTGTCTTTGCGTTTGTTTATGAAACTTTGTTCCATGGGGAAAAAAACAACATTTTAATGAACGACAGCCTGAAAGCATTTGTCAAATTATCCCTGTAAAAAAACTAAAAGTAAAGATTCCGAAAAAATATACATATCAATACAAAACAACCAATGTCAGCAACATTAACAACCAGTGACGATCCTACAGTATTTCTCATGGACACAAATACGACTGACTTTTAAATGTGTACATGTGGGCTTACAGGAATAACCATGACGTTGTTCTTTAGGAAGATCTTGTCGGCCTCTGGGGTGGTGGGACCATTGGCACCCTCAGCAATGATCTGAAACAAAATAAAACTCACCCATTTACCATCTCTACCATTTATAATAGAGATTGGAAATCTCTCAACATGACTTGGGGGCAAATGGAGTGCTTACCTTAGCCTTGATCCTTGGGGCATTGTTGCGTGTGAGCTGCTTCTCTCCAGCAGCAGGAATCAGGATGTGGCAGTCAGCCTCCAAAATGCTCCCTTCATAGGGTTTGGCCCCTGGGAAGCCCACAATTGTTCCATGTTGCTGTAGAAAGTGCAGGGATCCACATTAGAAGGGCAACAAAATGATACAAATAAGGTTCAAATAAAAAAGGACAGCTCATTATTTCTGAGGGGAGAACTAGATTAAACAACAAAAAACAGAATAACTTAGTTTAAAAAAACAAAAAGGAAAAATATAAATTGAAAAGGAAACCAATGCTCATACCAGCTTGTAGTCTTCCAGCTGTTTGGGGTCAATACCATCTGGGTTGTAGATGCTTCCATCGATCTCACCGACACCCACACATTTAGCACCGAACCTGTGCAGGTACCTCATGGAGTGGAGACCCACATTTCCAAAGCCCTGTGAAAGCATACGACAAATCACTGAAAAAGGGAACAAAAGGAAAAAAAAATCCCCTCTAGCTGGTAAACATTCTTAAAATAAGAAAGCCCGCTTCAATTCAGCTGGGATGCAGCACACACTCTGGCACCATCTTGTGGCTAGAAGAGGTTATAACACTGTCATCCATTTCGTTTTTCCATTTAAGGGAGACATTCTGACTCGTGCCGCAAAACAAAACAACTGCCGAGTACAGCCGTTAGTACAAATCAGCTTGTTACAGGATTCTTGTTCAATAAAAGAAGGTTCAATCCACTACTAACTGAACAGAAAAGACAGAAAAGTAAAAACATGCTCTTAATACCATAGTGAAGATCAACTCTCTCTGTTCTCACTAATGAATCTCTGAGGAAACCTAATCCCAACACAAAGTAATCCCCACACATATAAACAGGGATTACGTCTTTGAAAATCCACATCATGATTGAGCTGTTGCTTTGACTGTTTCTCATTTCACCTCCTCTATAATGTCCTTCTTCACTCCACAAGTGTTCGCTCTTTTCTTCTTTTACATGAAATAATTAACATGGCTATAATGACCTAACGTGCATCTTACTGAGTGAAAGGTAAGGCAGTGGACATATTAACATTGCAATGTTGTCAAGGAAAGGGGTAATTATAGAAAGCATTCTTGGAAAATGGCTGAGGCCAGTGCTATGGGTTTTCCCTCCAGTGTGTCAATGCTTAAGTGTGTGTATGTGTGCCCTGGCATGTGAGGAGCTCATGTGACCAATGGAAGTGAAACTATAAACAAAAACGCTGCTCTCTGAGTTTGTCTCCACAGAGGCACTTCTCCTTTCACAGAATGACTAAATCCTTTCATTTATGTGGATATCTTTTAGTGTTCACTGCTAGCATGTCATCTCAATATTCCTGTCATCCCAATATTCGTGTTAAGTTTTTAAATAAAAATGCATCTGAAACTCAAAAAGTAGCAGAGTGGACGAGTTTCTTTCTACTGGCTCCCCAGATTGTGAGTCATTGCTTTTCATGAGCAAACACTGGAAACTACAGCTCACTGCGGTTTGGTTAGGACGGATCAGATCCAACCTAAAACACATGGAATGGAACTAAAGGAGATGGTGCTTTAGGGTGACTTTGAAAACCTAAATCCAGCAGGTATCACTGCTAAAGTTCAGTGCACGTGGCAACATGTTTCTTCAACATCAAATCCAAAATGGGCACATCTTTTTACCTGGATGACGAAGGTCTTGTCCTGGAAACCAGGTGTAAAACCCAGCATGCTCATGTAAGATGCCTCATTAATGAAGTTCTCAATTCCATGGAAAACTCCGCGGCCGGTAGCTGATATGCGTCCGTGGATTCCACCCTGGCTGATGGGCTTTCCTGTCACACACGCGTGGGCGTTGATGTCCTGCAAAGAAAAATCCAATCATTTTAAACTGGGCCCTGATTTGCTCATCTGAATTAATTTAACACAGAACAAATCACAGGCTCTACTGCTGGAAAAAAAAAACACCCAAAACAAAGGTAAAACCCAGCCTTATTTGGGATTGCTCTTTTTGAAAAATCGTATCTTTTATTTTTTAGATTTTGGGTTCAGAATCTGGATGTCACACTTGGTACATTACGCAAAATGTTATGTTGTTCCACCTGAGAAGAACAAATGGCAGCTGACTGGCATCAGTACAATTATCTGCTATAAGATACCTGATTCAGGAATGTGACCCATATCCAAACAACGTCAGGAGTTTCTGGACCTAAGGGCACACGACTGAAAAAGGCAGCAGGTGGAGTTGAATATAAACTACATACACTATCTTTATTGGTAATGAAATGGTTAAAAATATTGGTTCATTCTGACATTAGTGGTGCTGCAAATATATTTCCTAAAGTGTCAAAATGGAAAGTCTAGAAACAACCTATGTTTGACTGGCTCTGGTGTGAAACAGAGCAGTTTGCTTCTTCCAACTCCTTTAGGATTCCTCATTAATTAGATCACCAAAATAGTCAAGTGAGAGTTTTTGACCTTTTTAATTTATTACTAGGTAGAAAAAACATATTGGTGGCACAATGCAAATGTGCACCCAAGTGAATATTCTCTTAGGGGACTTGTATAAGCCCGGTTTGACACGTTTTCATGAGACAATGATTAACTGATGGCATAAATAGGCTGAGGCCTTGAACTAAAAGGCTGCTTTTGAAGAGAGGAGGAATGTTTCCATGGTTGGCTGGAAAGGGAGAGGCAGGAAACCACTGCTCATGGTTTACATGTGACTCATTCCTTGTTTTTAACTTAGTTGGTTTTCACATTTGTACCAAACTCACTGCCAAGCCGGACAGATTGGTTGTGGACTTCTGTATTCTGCATGTTTGGAAACTCACAGTGTGCGCAATAGTGTTGGCATATGTGTCAGCGATCCAGGACATTTCCCTCTCTCCTGTGCTCATGTCTGGTGCAGGGACGTCGATGCCAGGCCCTGGTGAACAAAGGAAGGGGGGGAGGAAGGGAGGAGTTTTTGTAAACTCTGCAAGCTTCAGCATGAAGCCTGAAAAACAGCATACTTCACACACACAAGACGCTTAACAGAGAAAAACCTCCAAATCAGGCCTCAGTCCTAACATCCCCTGCAGATCCCCATATTTGAATCTAAAGTGTATTGTTGAAAAAAAAAATAGATAGAAATGGTAGTGGAAATGTGAGCAGTGTCACATGTGTATGTGCCCTCAAGGGCCTGTGATCTAAAAACAGAAGTAGGCATGCGAGAAGTCAGTGACATGGACAGCACGTCTACTTTAAACTACCCAGTAAAACTAAGTACGAAATCATCAATGCCAGCTACCTCTAAATAAAGCATGTCATATCCCTCTGCTGTGTTTAAAGTAAACATAATAGAAATAGTTACAAGCATCCTGTTAAGAATGAATGGTCTGTATGAGGGCTGTTACCCTGCTGAACCAGTGTATAGCATATTAAGTTAATCAAGGCTTAACAAAATATGCATTGATATTACAACTTGATTAAATGTCTGCACAACAGTGCTGTGTTTACCCTTCAAATAAGTCACTGTTTGCCCAATTTAATTGTATACCCCTGAGTGATAAGTACCATACATGCATGTTACTTTTACTGACCCTTTCGTCTCTTCAGGCACTGAGTTTTAGTAGTTTTCATGCAGTTGATTAACTTTGACAACCAGAGGCAACTACACACATCTAATAACCATAGAGGTAAATATACTGATCATTTTACAAACTCAGATTGGTAGAGGACACTGATCCAATTTCAAATGCCAGCGTTTACTGAAACAGTGTTGCTAAATCATGACTTAATCCATTAAAACCTCAAAAAGACATTTGAGTAATTGGCACGTTATTTGATACAGTTCAACACCTATTCCCTTCCTACTTTTTGGCCTACACCCTCTTTTGTCAGGAGTGACACACCCTCACTCACTATATCCTGAATAAATAGGGCTTGATGAGGCTTCGTTAACCTCTCTGAATGGAAATATCAAACTTTCACCACTACACCACAGAAACTACAACAAAAAAAGGTTGGTCTTTTCAGAATAAGCCATTACAGAAACTTACCAATGAAACCCTTCTTGGCCAGCTCAATAGTGAATCTCCTGGTAATCTTCTCCAACTCATTATCCTGCAACAAAGAGGACATTTATTGAAAAGCCTTTGACAACTTTGTACAAATTATATACTCAGGACAGACAGCATTGCCATCCTTTCTACCTGACCCTTCATCCCTGCCCTCCATGTTCTGTCCTCTAACTGTTCCCTCCCATCTCTTGGAGCCAGAACTAACAAACACGAAATTATGCTGCATTCTTCAGAGACTGAATCACCCATTTTGTTTGGATACTATAAAAAACAGGGCAACAGAGGAAAATCTGACTCCTCCAACTGCTTCTTAACTTCAGAATGTTGAGTGCTTTTTTTTTGATCTGATGCTCCCCTACAAGTTATGAAGAGTACATCTGAACATGTCTCTACATTTGTATTGTTTTGTGTGCTTGCTTGTGTGTCTGTGTCTGCTTGTATGCAAGTGTAGGGGATGAAGATTTACACTGAAAGGCTTACAGAGTAATTCCTGGGATTGATCTTGACGCCAGCTTTGGCTCCTCCGAAGGGCACATCTGGAAGAGGATAATACAGTTTAAACAACCCACAGAAACATATACTTGCACAACTGGCACGAACATATCCACATTTCTTAATGTGCACTCAGCCATAAACACAGCAGGTAAAACGGCTTTAAGCATAGAATGTGTGACCACTGGTTTAGTGCCTTGCCCAAAGTGCTAAAGCTGTAAAATAGCAACCACATGTGTGCAGATATCTGGTAATAATTTGCTATGGCCTTGAAAAAAACAGCAAGACTTACCAACAACAGCACACTTGTAGGTCATCAGCGAGGCCAAGGCTTTCACCTCATCAACGGACACATCCATACTGTAACGGATACCTGGAGAAAACACACAGTAGGGGACCAGATTACACAACGCAGTCGCCATATACAGGATAAAACTGGAACATAGTCAAAAGCACAGAAGAAGCATACAGATTTTATTTATGTTATAACACAGGATCCTCTCAGATTTTGCATCTTTATAATCAACAACTTTAGGAAGGCATGTGTTGCTAGATGTGTTCTCACTCTCATGGGGAAATCTAGTCTGGGTCCCAAACCGCTTCCACAACAACAACAAAAACGTACTACACGCACTATTAAGCATGTATGGAGCCTTGTACACATCTTTTATACTTTGTTTGACCTAATTTAAATGTAAGAGAACATTTATATACCATATCCATGAGGCTGCAAGTATCATTAAGCAGCCTGCACGACTAAATATACAAGCAATATAATATCTGTTGTTGAGTACTTTTCAAACCTCAATGATTACATAATCATTTACAGCTTGTCAGTCTACCCCAGTCAGACACTAATGTGGGATTCCTAACCATTCGCTCTCTGACTCAGGCCTTTCCCAAATGGTTTAAAGTTTGATGGCAGTCAGAGGACTTGCCATCCCACGCAATGTTAATTTGTAAATTGTTATACCTCACTGCAGAGAACAAATAAGTACCTACTTAAAGTATTCAGTAAGGGGTCGTCAGGTTGAGACGAAATACTCTGCAAATGCAGAATGTGAACGTGGTTAGAGAAAATATGTCTCCATCTTAGCTCAATAACACAGGTAAGAAATCATCCACTGTGTCCTGCATTTAACCTAAAAGTAATTGGTGGGTGGAGGTTGCGTGAACCAATCCCAGCCCTTCATTCTGACTCCAGCCCTCTAACTGCAGCCATACCTTCCTGTTGTCTGCCATTTACTATCGTTACCATAGTAGCACGTGTGTCTGTAACATGAGATCATAAAACCAGGCTCCATATGTCAAAGTGCTCCGTTTCATTGGCACAGTGCCTGTGTGAGTGAGATTGAACAGCAAATCCAAAAATAGCACGTCCAGAGTTAGCTGACTCTGAGAAAAACAAGGGCAAACAGTGCAAAGAGGAGACGGAAGGTAACTTCATGAGGACAAACGAGCTACCGGTGTTCCACAGCGAGCAAAGAAGCAGGAAGCACAAATATGGGGATAATGACAGAGGAGTTATCTGTAAATGCAATGTAGATGGCATGCTTTTGTGCCCACAAGTACCTTTTGTGCAGCAGTCAGAGACTTCCACCTAAAGTCTCATATTTATCTAATATTAAAGTAAATGGTGATCAAGTGCAGAGGGATCAAACATCCCAGAGAAAACACCATCCTTTAGAGTGCTGCTGAGGCACTCCCTCTTCATTCTTTTCAACTCATCCAACGTTCAGCTGCATTAACTCAGCCTCAAAGAGGACAATTCAGAGTTCATTGCTCAATCTAAAGGGGAGAAGGAATGGCTGCCTAACCATCCCCCATTTGGCAACCCATTTATCTACTAAACCAGCAGCCAACCACAGCAACAATAAAACATAATTCCTGAAAAAAGCAAATATTTCAAGATGTATACCAAACTGGTATTCAGAACTCCGGCAAACAGTGTTGTTAAAAAACATGTAGACGCTTAAACAAAACCTTATGGGACCCAAAAAATATATTAGGGTCTGGCATCTTTTGGTAGTATGGATGTAATCAAAGAGTATCTGAAGTTTAAACCTGTCCATGAGAGATTTAGATCACGTGTCAAGTATTTGGAAACTAATTTCAATTACACCGTAATTAATCAAATGTCAATTTCCTTATGCTAGTTTTCAAAGTTTTACACATTGCTAAGATTGTTCTTGTTTGTATTTTTTTAACTTATTGTGTGGTTTACATGTGGAATCAGTACATGAAAAACGTCCTTTATATTTACTCTACCTCTGCACAGGAAGGGCAAAAAAGCCTGCCATTGAACAGACCAAATAACATTTGAATGGGCCCGTGGGTGTGTGCAAACAACAGGCATACCCATCCAGCAAACAGGTCTAGTAAAGAGCAGTTCTGTCCGGTCTGACAGCTGTCAGTCTGGAGGGGTTGAAAAGGGGGCGGCTGAGCACACAGGCAAGTACAAAAACAGTCTTTGCACTTTGTAGTTTGGCCTCAACTCTGCTAGGGGTTTACATTTAATATCAATGATTAAACTTGAAAGATAACAGCTCATATTTCTATTCCTTTCAAACAAAGATTTAGCACAAAGGGCTGATAAGATTAATTTTAATTAGCTTTGGATGTTGACCTACTTCAGGGGTTAAGCTAATGAACAATTGCAGAAGACCAATTTAAGTTTTAAAAATTGTATCAGTACTGTTTCTATGAGTTCCAAATGGATAATCAGTGTGCAGTTAGTTCATATATAAATACCATTGCTGTTAAGAGCAATGAGTTCTGTTGTAGGATCTAAATTTACTCTCCAAAAGCAGGTGCAGTATGAGAGCTCCAGCGTTTCACCAGTGTGCAACAATCTTAAAACGTGAGCATTGACTGGCCAGCAGACCAGAACACGTCTCTTCCTCTTGAGAATGACTTTTCACTATGGAACCCTCCCCCATCTGTTAAACTACCAACAAATAGGAGTGCCTGTTAACGCATCCACCCCCTCCCAAGTTTGCATGGCTCTCTTTCTATATGTCATATGCTGTTTTATTGTTTAGTTATTTTTTCCTCCCAAAAATTAACCCTGGATGTACTAAAGCATAAGTACATCGGGTCTTTACTTTGAAGCTTGAATTTGAAACCGCAGACCATTTGTCATGGTCATCATATATCCATAAGGCTGACATACTGGGCCCGCACTTTGCATATTTGTTTTGCTCTTGACCTTTTATCTGTGAGCATAAGCCCTCTGAAAAAAGAAGTGAATGAGCAAAGATGTCATAGTCAGCCATATATTTGGTTCAGCCCATGTGGAAATGCCCAATTTGTAAAAGCAAAATGAAATGACACATGATGCCTTCAGGTCTGTACTGTGATGTCGTACACCTGACACACATTTTAGAGAGACAATATTAGAAAAAAACAGATATACGATTCCAGGGTGGGGTCATTTCAAACAGCTAGATTACAAAAATGTGTAATACGAGTGTGTCATTGTTGAACTAGAAAATTAGGACTAGAAAATTATCATTTTGTTTCCAAACTAAACTATAGTTTACATTTGCGTGCAGCGCAGCTACAGGTGAGCAGGAAAGTCACTGTAAACTGTGACATACAACCACATTCTGAACAAATACTGTCCAGTAATGAACAAAAAAAATATGTAATTCACTTGGTTGACGGAGCTGTGCCTAACGGTTAACAACGGTGGCATTTCTTGACAGCAACTGCCCGGTACTTTTTACTAGCTAACGTCACTGCTAACTGATGCTACATAGGCGGCTAAAGCTAGCTGTCAAAAAGACCGGAAAAGAACAAAAAAACTCTCTTTTTACCTCCTTTACATGGCGTTCTGTGCTGGCTGTGTTGGGCGCGGTACCCCTCCACCACTTCCCACTCTCCATTATCCCTCTTGATGGGGAAAGAAACGCTGAGGACGTGATTACAGGGTTTGATGATGCGCAGGATGCCCCGCACACGGTGTCTCTTTTGCTCGGCGCTCTCCCTGGTCTTCAGGTCCTCCACCAGCTTGTCCTCGACTATGGTGGCACCGCGGTCGAAGAAGCCTTCAACCATCCTGAAGAAGTTGGGGTCGTCAGGCTGCTCTGCGGCATCGGCATAGCGACGGACCCTCATCAGGGACGAGGACGCGGGGAGAGCAGAGTCAACGCATCCCGAGGCCAGGGCACTACCCGCAGAGCGGCTCAACAGTTCCCCGAAATACCGATACATGGCTAAAATAAGCTAACGAGGTAAACGAACAATTTTTTTAAAAAAGCAACTAAACAACAAGGGCAATGGGGGTGACGACGGAAAGGGGGTTAGAATGGTAGACACAGCAGCTCCTCACTGTGTCTCGTCCTCTGGCCGAGTGGGAAATGGCATGCTGTGTCAGTTTGCTTTAAAAGGCAGCCTGAGTCAGGGAAGGAATGGAGAGCTTCTAGAGATAGCCTCACGCGGAAGAGGAGGACCAACGGACGCACGCGCCAACTGCCGTTGCGCGCTCCCGAGTTTGGACAGCAACAGGAAAAAACTTGATTTTCAAGGTATTTGAGGTATTTTAATGATAAAGATCCAAATAATTACATTACTTTATGCACGATCAGTACTTTGAGTATAAGTTTTATATTTTTTACCACTAACATTCTTGTTCATTTTCTCTTTTATGCACATATATAATTTTAAGTTGTATAAACAAAATGTAAAATGGAAAGGAATTATTTATCAATCACTTAATAGCAAAGTGGGAGACAGTTTTGTGGTCAGATTCATAGAAGTTTCCCATATTTTGGGAATCATGAACATTGCATTATATAGACAATCAGGGAGGAACCAGATGCATATAAGGACTTACATATTTCAGCAAGACACTGCTAAACCACACTCATTACATTCACATGGCTCCATAGACGGTGCATGACTGACATACCAGAACTTCAGACCATGAAACTACTGGGAAAATTTGGGGCTTGATGAGATTGTTGTGTAAGTGGAATCCTAAATCAGTCAGGAATGAGTTTATTATCCCCTCCAAAAAAGGCCCAGAACTGATCTCCTCAGTTTAGTTTATTTTTTCAGGTACAAATTATCATTTAAAAAATGGAATTATAGACAGTGGTGGATATGGTCCTGACACAGCTTTTTTCTTTCTGGTCTCATTTTCCATCCATCTATTTTCTATACCCATTTGCTCCAAGTACAGTCCCCGGGGGCTGGAGCATATCCTAGCTATCAATAGGTGACAGGCAGGGTGTACCGTGGGCAGGCTGAGGAAAAATCATTAAAATGGTGGGAAATGTTGATGTTCTTTTTTAAAACAGTCATACTTTTGAAGATGATAAGCCTTTTGCTCCCAATCTCTTCATCCTTATCACCTCTCAAGCAATATAGACAGCTATAAAAATGTTTGTTTCAAAGAACACAAAGGTTGTTTTCTTTTTTGCTCTTTTTTATCAAATATAACCTAGTTATGCTAATATATTGCACAATGGATGTGCACAGATGAAGAAGAAATCCTTCACATATATGCAAAATCTTTCACTCTCGATGCAGAAGCTTGCGATTGCAACATGATACACACCGGCCTGGTCATTCATTAGCCTTCCTGTGGCTACATTAGCTAAAGAGTTTTGTACTTTGTAGCTTGAGATCAAAAGGTATTTGCGAAGCTTGCTGTCATCAGCAGTTCCCTGATCTGCTGGGTGAGTGCTGCAGGCAGGTAGGAGATGCTGTAGGAGATGCATCCATCAGTCATTAACTCTCCTTACGGGCAGAAATTATTAACAAAGGATATTACCCTTGCTGGAGTTTATGTAGGCATTTAGCATGCTATCACGTTCTGATTAGAAGACAAACACAAATTGTGTCAGTTCAGCAGGACATCAGATGTGCACTAAACTTGAGGCTGTAATGACTGTATCAGAAAAATCAACCCAAAGCCGAATTAATAACCCATATAATGAAAAAGCGTCAATGTTAACGAAAAACTCGAGAAGTTTACAAAGTTGGAGGGTATCAAAATCTGCAAAAAGTGAATGTCATAGCAAAAATCATCAACGTTGCATGAGATTGCATTGGGGAACTATGAACACCTGCATAAATCTTTAGCTTTTATTCATTCAGTGGATTTTTGTTGGGTGCAGCAAAAGGATACATGCTGCTATACCAAAGAACAAAAGCATTTAAAAAATAGATATTTTGACCAGTGTACAGGTTAGAAATTGTAGCTGTTATGACCTTACTATTAAAAACCTCCAAAAGCTACATCCTGCCTACATTCTTCACTTGCTGTATTAATTAATTCCTCATATTTTCGGCATCACAAGCTTATTTACAATTAGCAGCACAGTTTCCTTGTTAGGTTAAGGCAGTAATATTGGTTAGAAAACAAAAGAAAAAATGCAGCCAGGGTCCAAATAAGAACTTCAGGATGTTCTGCAAAAAACTTGGAGAACTATTCCTGAATACTACCTAAAAATAAAAAAAATTGCGGATACCTTGAACTTGGATTTGCAGGAAAGAATTTCAGAAATAACGGCAGCATGAGACTATGTTACTGTCACTCCATCCCTAAAACAGACACATATCAAAGACTTTCATGCACTTCATGCTCATTTCCTTTTATGTCAGCCAAGCACATGTTCAGTGACAGTGATTTTTGGTGTGCTTTGGTCTGTATCTGAACAATCACAGTAAATTATTCCTTTGATGGAAACAATACAGCCTTGATATGGCAGCTGGCAAAAGACAAAGTGTGTGTACGTGTGTGTGTTTAGGTATGAAATTGTAGATGTCTCCTCAGAGGCTTTCAAACTCAGCAGGGGGAAAAGATATCATGGTCACCAATCAGCTTATTAGAATAGCTTTTTTTATGTAGCCTTTATGCACATTACAAAATATATGAATATAAAAAAAACTGATTTAGGGTACTTGATTCTACCAGCCAGTCTAATTTGAGCTTATTCAGTCATGTTTCCAAGGATGACACTGATCATGTAACTATGTTTCATATCTAAACTGCATGACTGTTGCCTACATATCATTATTTCACACCCACACACAAAAGAGAATGTGCATATATTGTCTGCTGCACAATGTGTCAGAGTGCTGAGCTCATCTCAATGAGACCCTGACCCAAGCCTGCACCTGTGGACTCTGCACATGAGATAAGATTAGATCTATTTCCTGGGATGTAGGTACAAACATCATTTCTTGCGGATAAACAGACGTGCAAATACATGAATTGTACACAGCATACCATAAAGAGCAGGCAGAGTAAAGACTTAATTGATTGTAGTGAAGAGGAGTTTCGTGGAGATTTGAGAGTCCAAAGTAAAGCTGTCATGCATTAGATATGACACACGATCAAAGCCTTAAATATACTAATGCAATAATAGTAAAGCTTATCTCCCAATTGTTCTGGAGCGTACGGCAAAGCCATAAAATTCTTTTTTTATCAACTCTTAAAGCCGATATCTGTAAGGCAAGTTTAGATTAAACAACTGTACATTTGAACTCTTCATTTGCAAACACAAACTGAGAAGGATAGGGAGCAAATTCAGCGCTCTCAGAACTTAGACTTAGACTTCTTTTATTGTCATTGCACAAAAAACACAAGGTGAATCTTGACAACGAAATGTCGAACATTCACTTACCCATTTGTTTTTTGTTCCACACAAAGATAAGCTCATAGCAGTAAAGATAAAGTCCTTCATTGATGCAGGAGAAGAACAGTGTGCAAAGAAAAAGGAGGGACTGCTTAAATAAAGGGCTTTCAAGCTGCAAAAATCTGAGACTAATATTCAAAAAACAAATGGAAGGCAGGCTCTCACTTTTGGATTCAGAAACCAATCTAATTTGAATACAGATTTTCACCTGGAAGATGCTTTTGCACTGCTGCTTTCGCACACGCAAAAATCAACTCTATATTGTTGGTTTTCTACAGGCTGCTAATCACAGAAGTGTACCACCAGATACCGTGTCACTGTGATAAGTTTGCATCCTGTCCATTTCCCTGTCACCGTCATATTTGCTTTTTTGGAGTCGTTTCCATCTAATTTGGATAGTTGATTTAGGTCTAAGGCTTTATCAGGGCCGAGGCAAAAATCAAACAAACAAACAAAATTGCAGGACACTTTTGACAATATCTGTGTTGTCTTTTTCTTTTATTGTTTCTATGTTCTTTTAAAATCTATTTCATGATTTCTTCTGTAGAATTGTCTGGTGTGATCGTGTTACTTCCTAATATGGGATTAACACAATGGAAAAAAGACTGAGCATTGCTGTGCAAAGAGCAAAAGCGTGTTTCTCTCTGACGTTAATCAGTTCAAGAACTTTGAACATTGACTCTTACAACAGATAGGTTAAGTTAAGGTTAAGTTCATGTAAGCTGTTGCTTGTTAATATATAAAAACAGACTATTTAGATACACTTTAATAACTAGACGGAAATGTAGGACAAGCACCTGAATTTGCTTGATTATCAGAGCAAAGTATTTTCATTCCCCAGACCAGTGCACCAGTTTCCAGCTTGTGCTCCCGTTTATCTTATGCCTGACTGTTCTGTTCCTTCCGCTTTCTGTTTTCCTCGTTGCGCTGCCAGCCTTTGATTTATTACGGCCCGTGTCAAAGGGTGAGCGCCGCCAAATCATTGGCTGAAGCCTGACAACTCCCACCCAATCATAGGGGTGTGACCAGGGGAGGAGTGCAGGGTAAGAACGGGGTATGAGAGTTGAAGTAAACAGGGGCCTGTTCAGCTGAGTCACATGGGGCCAGCAGTGGAACAGAGAGTGTCTGATAATGCGGTTAAAAATCTGTGTCTGCTCAGGACTTTTTTTTCATTGTAGACTGTCAAACAGTTGCCATCGCTGTCATTTAAATCCACTCGACCGTGTGCAGCACAGTTTTGCCTCTACTAAAGCGATCAGTACTCCCAAACTTAATGCCACAAACTGCCCAGAGAGCCGCCAGGGTCATCCCAAAAATTAAGATGTTCTGGTTTTGCAGAGGGATAGAAAGGACAAACAAGATAAGACGTTCCTGTTGAACATGCATGGCATGTGATTTCTTTGTCTGGAATATTGCAGATGTGTTCTTCATTAAAGACTCAAATACTAAGATTAAAACAGAGAAAAAAGACAGAGACAGGACATCTTTTTTTGTCTTTTGTTCTTGAAACTATAGCTGGTGTTATATTTCATATGATATTCTACTTTGTGCACGGTAAAAAACACTAAGGAGTTTCTGGAGGACAGCACTTCTCAGAATAAAAGATGGTGCATGTAACGAAAATGATTCTCCAGTGTTCTTATAATACATCTTTGATTCAGTTAAAGAAAAAGCTATTTGGGACCAATGAGTAAAAAGCTTTGAGATGCATCACTAAAACCTTAAGGTGAAACGTTTATCTTAGAATCTTAACTGGTTATCTGTAGGAATCATAAACTCACTTTACTGCCACAGATATTGAATCAGCTTCTTCACATGTGGATTTCAGTAACTGCAATCAAACACTAGATGGCACAAAAGGGTTAGAACAACATGCTGATGTCTGACTTCAACACAAGTAAAAGGGTCTTTAGCTTTAATGCCATAAAAGCATCCAAAACTTTATAGACATATCCTGTAGAACTTATAATGGATTCAGCCTTTCTGAATGCTATGACCATAACAAACCTGACATCTTAAGAAACAGATTAAATTGCAGTATATAATTAAAATTTCCTCTCTTCATTCATTCATTTTAATAATTTTGACACATGGAAAAATGTGCACATCAATCCATTGTTTTCAGAATGATTGTTTCCACCTCTGTGGAGAAAAGGAGAATTACAAAAAGGAAAAATTAAAGTGTGGGTTTCTGTAGCCACATTGCCCAACCCAATCTCTGGGCAGGGATTATAGTAACATCTAACCACTGCACAAACTGTCAAGTTTCACAACACTATTTTCGTTTTCTTGAGTTTATGTGGTGAAGTTTGAGTTTAGCATCCACCTATTTTCTCTTTATGCCATGCATTTGCACCATTGTGCTCTGAATTTGTTCACTAAAAAGGAGATAAAGCCTGACTATCATACAAAAGACAGAATCCAGACCTATCTGATCTTTTAAAATGTTTTCATCCGTCTTATTTGTGAACACTTGGGGTTAAACTGGCAAATCTGATTAAGTGTATAAGGTTCTGAATAGGCGATAAATTGAATTTTTACTGCACTTATTCAATTTTACCATGCTAGTACAGTCACCTGCAAGCCAGCACATCTATAAACTCTGGACAGCTGTGAGAAATGACGACAATGATCCAGTGAGCCGAGAAGGAGCTGAGGAATGGGTGAGAAGACTGACATGTTGTGCACGGAGCTGTAAAATATGTTTAGTATGAGGTCACATTGTGAGATTCAGCATTGTAAGTTTGTGTTTCCTCTTTTTGATACAGTAATAATAGTCTGTCTCCAGTTCCTTTTCTTTCTTTGTATTCAGTTTTATACCAATCGAAATACCCTGCGTGTGTGTATGTGTGTGTGTGTGTGTATGTGCGTGGGTGTGCATGCATGTGGAAGTTAAGAGGTAAAAAGTTGACAAAGTTCCCACGAGAACTTTCCTATCGAATGTCTCTATTCAGGAAGCTGCGGCTTTGACTCGCGACTACCACATCTCCTCATCAGCACATAGCGCAGTTCTCTGTATGGGGCCCATAGATACTACACGTGTCAGGTGGCCCAGGAGGAAACCCCATAGGAAGTATGGTCGAGCCCAGAGAGGTCACCAAGGAGTCAAAAGGCTCGCGCACGTCAACATATATCATCTGTCACCAGACCCGTCAACTGTCTGTCAACCACAGTCTGTACCTAAAAACATACTTTTCTCTCTAGAAGACAGAAGTGCTACTGGAGCGATTTTGCAACTGTGTGACACAAGTTAGTACTCAATGGCTTCTGCGTCTAACTGAACTTCAAGTGAACTTTCGCTATATGCCTCTGATCAGCAGGTGAAGGAACACAATAATCCATTTTGACTCAGAAAGTTCACATTTATTGAAAGCTCATTCAGGCAAAAAATATGTAGAAATCCCAAAAGAAAGACGCACAGATGTCTTTCGTTGTGTTTGTTCCTCAGACTCTGCTCTCAGAACAGGTAACTGTTGATAGTCTGGTCCAAGGAGAGCATGAGAGATGGCTCCTCCACCCCACTGCAACACACACCAACGAAAATGAACACACAGATTGATTAAATTCAGTTAAATTCACAAACAGCTTTAGTATGTCGAAGTCTTAAAGTCAATCCTGGTGTATGTTTTGTATGTTTGGGTATGTTACTTTAGGTCAACTGACATCGAATAAAGCACAACAATCACCTTTTTAAAAAAAAATGTTTTTGGCTAAATTTGTCTGTGAAAGGCTACAGTGATAGTTTACAGTACCCTGAAATTGTAGCAAAGTCTTGCTCTCTTTCTTTCTTTCTTTTTTGCTTTGCTCATAAAATTCACTGTCATTCATTTCTGACACACAAGTGAAACAGTCTCTTGTTCCAATCTGAGATTTCATAATGTGTCATATAGTGAAATCACTGAGCCTGTGAAAAGCTGCAGTCTGACACAACAGAAATGACAGGGTGACTTCTGATCGTACACCCAGCAGAGAATCAAAACTATATCACAACACCTAGAGCTAATACATTTCTCAAACAGATTTATTTTTGGAAAACTCACACGAAATGATGCACGTACCTGAGAACATAGGTCACACAGAGGATGCAGAGTGGCTGGTGAGAGCTGGATCTGGTTTTGGAGGTCCGGACACTGGGGATGACGGCGCCGTGACTCTCCACCCACACATAACCCCCCCCTCTCACCAGCATCCTGTACTGACCACTGACCGACTGACTCTTCAAACACACTGCAGAGACAGGTGGAGGCTTTTGAGGCACGTGCTGTGGATGAGAGTGCCTGTGACGGCCGCGCACGTGTGTGTGTGTGTGTGTGTGTCTGTGCACTGACACTTACAGTTGAGGTGGTTTTTGTTCAGACAGTTTGTGTCCAGAGTGTGACAGAGATCGTAAATGGAACGGCCCAGCAGCTCCTCGGGCCTGTACCCCAAAAGAGACGTCACTCTGCACCAAGGAAAATGCACAAAAGGATTCCAGCATTAGAAAAAATGCACGTTCAACTACTTTCATAAAGTTGACAGTTACGAAGGAAACCCATCAAGTTTATTTAGCAAGTCTTTGTCACACAAAATAAAATCCAGTTTGCGCAATTTTCTGGATATACTCAAGAAGTATTATGTATGCAATCAACTAAACCACAAAACATATCTAACTTTTCAAACACATCTAATTTTCCCTTTTTATAAGCATGTATGAGTAGCCTTGACACCCACGTGGTTTATCTATAAGCTGTAAAACGCATTGTTATTGTTGGAGGACTGTTCGTTAAGCAAAAACTGGATTGTGAAGAGCGGCTTCCATGTCTTTACACACCTTTGGTCACAATATGTGAACCGCATGTCCATGCTGTGCTGGCTTGTGAAGCTGTGGGAGCTGAGAAGTGTGTGTGAGAGAGGCAGGGGCCGGCAGGTTAGCTGTATACAGGAAACAGAAGACGAGGCCACACGCGTCTTTACTCTGCCCTGGCAGTGCAGAACCTGAAATCACAGACAAAAGGATCGATACAATAAAAAAAGCTACTCTTTGATGCTGATAATGTTCTGAAAGCCCCTGGTCTTGGTTAGATGTTGTGCTTTTTCTCTACAACCTTCCATGTCGCAGACTTGAGGCTAGTGCTTCTTCCTCTGTGTGTCAGAGCGCTTTTTATCCTCAAGATAAAGTCCCTCTTCTGAGAGCTATAAACCTCCTCTGAAAAAAAAAACATGAGACATTTATTACCTTATATGAATGAGTATAATACGCAGAATACTCAGTTTGTAAGCACACACACCTGCATTCAGACGGAGGTTATGTCGAATCTCCTCATGATCACAGGGGTGAGTGTACTCAAAGATGTTGTGCCCCATCAATTCAGTCTGCAAGACAAGAAAGAGCTATTTAATCTTAAAATCCTGAAATATCCTACTTGTAGGAATGCATGAGCTTTGGGTCACCTGTGTTAATCCCATGTACTTGCTGACATTATCAGACAGGAAGATCATGTCTCCCTCAGTGGACAGGACCATCAGAAATCCCTCCAGGATCCTCAAGTATGTGTTTGACTCCCCTGAGGACATCAGCTCCTCTGTCACTTTTTCTTGCACGTCCCTTTGTGCACAGCAATCCAGTCCCCGGACGCCTTCCACCCCTGCTCGATATGTGTGTTTGGCCTCTGCATTTGTCCCGACAGTTTCTAATTTAGAGAAACAGGAAAGAAAGTAGAGTGTCCATGGTACCCATACGCACGGGAGAGCAGAAGGATGTGGTGTTGTCTTTTTACTGGTCTCTGCTCGTGTGTGTTTGTCTGTGTCTCAGGTGTTGTGAGGGACTTCCTCTGTGTGACACGCAAACAAAACTACCTGTTAAAGACCACTGTTCTTAAAATCAAAACGATCAACTCTAGTTTTCAAATTACTTAGCTTCAGTTTACGTTTTGAAATGGACTCATTTGAAACTTCAAATGTGCTGTGTATTTTGAGCAGAAATTAGGCAAAAAACCTTTTACTAAATATTATATTATTATTATATTATATTACACTAAACATTTCTGAAATGATGCAGAAGGCTTATTTTTCATATGCTTTATTTGATTTTTTTACAAATGTATTCAAATTAATCATTTACCTGCATTTGGATGTAAATAAAGCTGTTTTCCAGCATCTGCATGACTCTGTAACATTGTGTTAATTTGAATTCAATAATAATTTAGGCATAGATGTTTCCTCCTCATGGATCTGCTGTCATACCTTTGAGCAACGTGTGCATTCGTATGTAGCTGAGGCTGAGGCGGATGATGGAGGGTTTGTCCAGATGAGCTCGGACAGAGGGCTGCAGAGGTAGGAGGCGAGATAAATCTCTAAACACATCAGACTCCACTCGCCGTCTCCGTCTGGCTGCCTCACGGCTGATCGCCCTACAAAAAGTGTAAATAACTGAAAACACAAGCCAACTGTACAGTATCAACTTTATTCACTTTTAAACACATGAAAAAATAGATATTTATTTGCATTAGTATAAATAAATTACAGTGAACGAATTAGAAATAGATGCTAACTCTACATTGTACTTCTACAAGTTCCCCCGTTGTCAAAACTAATAAGAATATTTCAGATGAAATTTTTCGTGTTTCATGTAATGCACTTTTGCTTTGTAGTGTTACTTTGTTAGAGCTGGGATAGATTGTTCATTAGATTTATCCTAAAACTGCTAATACACCATCAGTGGAAAGGAGAGGGGGAAAATACTTTTTAAATACCTAACTTTGCTTGGTTCAGCTCAATGGCACAGTGACTTTTTGAACTTACGGGAAAGTGTTTTAGAAAATGTCTCAATATGTAGAGTAGCATGCTGTACTTCTTCAATGTGCAGTTTCAGCTAATTTTTATTCTTTTGCCCAATTTAACTTGTACTGCTCATGCTTCTTCTTTAGATTTCGATAGCACACCTTTAATTTGTATTGCTCAGCACTTTTAACCCACTAGGATTCACATGGTGGCACCAGTGTAGAAAGATCATTGAAACTAAAACAAATTAATAAAAAATGCCCAACATGTGTAGCAGATCTTTGATACCTTGTGGTCACACAAAGATTTGTATTTATTTATTTCTAAAAATGTAATCTATGCACTGTTTTTCTAAAATTGTTTATATTCCCTATAATTTTACTTTCAGGAAAAATGTACCTGTTTTCTTATGGGTTAAAACTACTATACGAAAAACACGTTACAAAACATTAATCGTCACAATACCTTCTTTTCTCCTTGTCAGCTGTCATCATGTCCTGCAGGAGTCTCTAAGTAGTGGCATGGTGAGCGCTGGCTCAGTAAACTTGTGATGGTTCACAGCTCAAGCAGGAGTCTTCTCAATCCAAATTGCACCATCACAGGTAGCTTAATACATCACTGAGCCAATTAGCGGTGTCAAATATCACCAATATCCCTGCTGCACAGGCAATTTGGGCTGAATCCAGTGAGAGTGTCGTCTCCCCTCAGCATGCAAATCAAGTACAGGCCTCCAATACTGAGTGCAGTGATAGGTCAGCTGGCCAGGAAGAGCATCACACACCTCCCTCCCTCCCATCCTCCCTCCCACTTGACAAAAACTTTTGAGCATACCTCAGATTTGCCTCCGTACAGCAGAGACAAAACAAAAAACATTACAAAAAAAGGAAGAAAAAAAACTACACAGATATATCTGGGATTGATGTAGACAGCTCAGTGTTTATTGGAATCAGACCAGACAGGACTAGCCTGGCTGCACTACATTTTGGCACAGAGTAAGATAGTGTGACCAGGAACAGCCCTACCCCTGGGTGCACAAAGCTTCACTACACACCGACTCTACTGCACAGACAGCAATCAGCTCGTCTTCATGTCACTGTACAAAAGTCCTTCTCGGTGCGTGCATGTGTTTGTAAGAGAGACAGTGAGGAAGATGGGGGAGGGCGTGAGGGAGTCTGTGTGTTGTAAGCGGTGTGTGTGAGTCTGAAATGAGAGGTAATTCAGCTGCTGGTTCTCCACGTTTCCTATCAACCGGCTGTAACAGACCTATAATGGTATAGTTATAGTAATATACATAAAGGTTTCCTCATGATACACTGTACAACAATAATAATAACAACAATAATAATAATTATAATGATAAAAAATGATTGAGCAAAAAGAAAGACAAGCCATTCCTGAAAAAAGCAAAAGTGAGAAAAGCAAGTGGTTTTTGGCAGAGATAAAGATTGATGGCTGCTGGAGGTGGAAAAAGGGAATTGGTGCTTTGGAAGGAAGGAGGGAGGGAGGGTGGAGGCTGAAAACACTGATGGTTGCTATAGAAACAGAAATGCTGAAGACAACAAGACGGGGAGGGGAAAAAACGCAAAAATGTACATTCACAATTTTTTTTTTCAAGAAAAAAAAAAAAAGAAAGAAAAGGGAAACGCCCACAGGCCAACACATTCACACCAGTCGGACAGGCATGGAGTCTGAAATTAACAGATGGATGAAATATCTGGACACTGCTACACAGGCCGCCTGTAACACTCTGCTCCACGTAATTAGTTCAATAGCCTGTAACATTCACTTTATATACACAGGACAGGAGGACAGACATTGTGCGACAGTGAAAGCAATATTTCAATCCAGCCAAAAAATACTTTTCGAAGAGAAAAAAAAAACACATGAAGAAAAAAACCCATAAAATATATATAGATAGTCATGGTATTGCACAAAGGGAATTTGGCCCTAACTGGTCCACGATAAGGACAGAAATAACACAGATAGGGTACTTGTCCATGCGCCACAACGTCCTTTACTAGCAGACAATACCACCACGATACAGCCACTCAACACAGGCTATATACAGGCCTCCGCACCCAGCACCTTCAGTCCAAGCGTGTCCAGGTGCTGGAGAGTGAAGCAGTGTAAGTGTGAGTGTTTGGTTGTCTGAGCTTGTGGGTGTGTCTGAGAGCGTGTAAAAGGTTGTAGTGTTTAGATCTGCACCAAAGTGTGCAGGTGAGGTGAGTGTGTGAGAGCGTGTGCAGCTGTGCATTTTCATATTTATTCTCATAGTCATATTCATAATAAACCCAGGCAACACTAACAACACAATGCAAGAAAATAATATTCCAAAAGTAACAACAACCAATAGCTTCAAAGTAAAGGAGTGATTGTGTTTGTGTTTGTGTGTGTGTGTTCGTGTTTTGTAAAGGAGTTACGGTTCTACAGAGTGTAAGCATGTGTACGTACGAGCATGCCATGTAAAGTGTAGTAGTATGACTCTCATGTGGGTGCTAGGTCTTGGTCTCCTCGGGGGCGCAGTAGGAGAAGTCCTTGAACTCCTCCTGGTTGATCTGTCGGATGATGGCCTCGTCTGTAGGGGTCAGCACTGGGTCCTCCTTCGTGAAGTCTTGGTCAAAGTTATTCACGTCTCGCTTGGTTTTCTACAGACACACAGAGACGCAGTCAGATTGAGAAAGAACAGATGTGTGTAGAGCGACACCGCCTGACCACTGGGCCTTACTGCAGGTTTATAGGACGACTAAAACAGAGCTTTCTATCGGACATAACAAACCACACAAAAAATGTCTCCAATAAATTCATTTTATAAGAGACATTTAAAAAACCCAGGCACAAACACTGTATTTTTATGGACCTTTGAGAATAATTTCAAAAAGGCGTGCCTCAGTTAATTCTACAGAGACTATTAAAAAGGACCCAAGTGTTATGATTCCTTATTAAACTTAATAACATTTTCATCTACAGGGCTGAAGTATCATATTGGTTTAGATTCAGACTTTGGTAACATGCCTGCTTTCCTAAGTAGCAAATTTTCAACTCTTTCAGTACCATAAACTACAGACACCCCTAAAGCAGCATCCAGTAAATCAAATTTCAACCAATTCTTTGGTTGAAATTTGTTTTTGGCGTACATTTTTTGGGTATTTTTGAGCTGACGTTGAATAAGTCCCTGCCCTTAACCCGGTCACATTCTCTGGGAAAATACTGTGAGGACAAACGAGCACCTAGAAAAAATTAGTGTGTGTGTGTGTGTGAGTTCTTACAATCCGTGGTTTAAATGGCGGCTTCACTTTTCTTTGCTCCAACAGCACCCAATCAATCTCTCTGAAGAAGGCATGGGTCTTGATGGCCTCTTCGCATCCCTGGCTCACTACGCAGCCCAAACGCTTGGCAGGATTCTTTGTCATGAACTGCACACAAAATCACACGGGTTTGGTTGGAGTTCCCCTGACAATCAGCTCCTTTTTAACATTTGCTGTAGTCATTTCATCTATAAAACAGCAAGAACAGCTCTTGGTTTGAGCAGAAAGTATTTTTGGGACTAATGATAGAGACAATGCCCTCATGAAGTTTTGCTACAGTGAAGAGGTGACGCATACCGCTCGGAGGATGGAAACGGCCTCTTTGCTGAGCCAAACGGGATAGAGGACGTCATCGTGTAGAATCGACTCGAACAAGTCGTCTTCGTTATCAGCTTCGAATGGAGGCTGCCCGGCCATCATCTCATACATCAGCACCCCCAACGCCCACCAGTCCACCGAGGCTCCGTACTCCAGCTCCTGCAGGATCTGGGATCAACAGCATGAACAGATCAACGCGCAGCACAGAAATCCCCTGCAGCACAGAAATCCCCCGCAGCAAAAGAGCCTTTCCACATAAACATAAACAACACACCTTGTTGGGTTCACTTTAATGTTTTCGGTGTTCAATTTTGATGAGAATTTTTTAGTGTAGAAAATGTAATGTCTGCACAGCTAATTGAATGTCATGTGCAGAGGATCATTCATTCTTAATTAACGAGTATATTGAAATTTAATGGGGCGTTTCCCGTGGCCTGAACCTCACCTCTGGAGCGATGTAGTCAGGCGTGCCACAGAAGGTGGTGGTGGTCACCCCGTTCATGATGCCTTCTTTGCACATACCAAAGTCTGCCAGCTTACAGTGGCCCTCTGCGTCTAAGAGGATGTTATCCAGCTTCAGATCCCTTTGGGAGGAGGACAGAAAAAAGGGAAGAGTCAGCGGATTTTGCCACAAAGGTATTTTACAACTGAATCTTTATCTTCATTTGTGGTAACAGTTACTGAAAAGTGACAAACTCAGTTAAAATATTAACCAAATAATGAACATGAATATGACTGATTCCATTTTATCAGCCTTTCCGTGCCAGGGTGAGTCTATGGGTGAAACACATATAACCAAAGTAAATACACGGAATATCACCTGTATATGACTCCATTGCGGTGCAGGAACATGAGGGCTGAGGTGACTTCAGCAGCGTAAAAACGAGAGCGAGGCTCGTCAAACTTCCTGGACCGCTGGATCTGGAACATCAGATCTCCTCCATTCACATATTCCATTACGAAGAATAAACGGTCCTGCAGCGAGGAACAATAAGACAGGAAGCTGTGTGAGACCGAAAGTTGGAGTCGAACATTTAGAGCTACATGCTTGGGTTTTAGGTCCTACCCGTGTCTGGAAGCAGCAGTACAGCTGGGTGAGGTAGGGGTGGCGGCGGGCGAGGGCCAGGATGCGCTTCTCAGTCATAGTGCAGTCCACGTCGTCATCCTGGAGGATCACGTCCTTCTTTAAAACTTTAACAGCATAAACCTCCTCTGTCCCCTTCAGCTCTGCCAACATCACCTGGATAAGAAGTAGATTGTACGGTTTATACAGTTATAGTCATGATCTCAACATCTGATATCTGCATTAATTGTCGACTAACACAAATATTTCTGAGATAATCTTTAAAATACAGGTTCTCAGACCAATCCAAAAAACACTTCCAGAGGAACCACATAGAGCACAAATGAGAAGTACTAATCGACTCTAATCAGAGCTATAACGGCCATCTTACTAAAATGTCACCAGGAGCAGTACAATTCTTTCACAATCCAACTTATAAAACCAAACAAAGCGCTTCAGCCTTGGCAAAGCGTTTTCAACAAAAAGCAGGTTTTCAAAATAATTTCAAGCAGTGCAACAAAGAAGACTTTGCTGTTTGACGCAGAACTGCAGACTTGACTTCGTTGAAGAACGTAAACAAACCTTGATGAATAGCAGATCAAAACGATAATGCCTTTGCCAAGACTTTCCAGGAAGACAAGCTGTTAACTCTGATCTGGCCATGAATCTCACAGAGGTAGATAAACACAAATGAAGAATGTCCTTGAAGAACACACATATATATATATGGAAGTGCTGTATGGTGGTGTGGTGGTTAGTACGATAAGAGTGGAGCCAAATCCCAAACCAGTGGGCTGCTGTGTAGTTAAACCTGTGGGGAGATTTTATATGTACAGGAGCTGTAAGAGGTCTGGCTTTTGCAGCGTGTCACATCCCTCTCTTGGCCTGATTTTCCTTTCTCGTGGCATGGTTATTAAAAGCTGTGAGAACCCACAGAATCTTGTAAAAAGAGCAAGTCTTCAGGCCAAGTAAAAGAAACAATGAGATGAGAGACAACTAAAACTTCAGGGGACTTAAAGGGAAAGTACAGTCGGACACTAAAAATGTTAGTGTCCGTTAGATTTAATTTAATATATAGTGAAAAGATGCAGCTCTTGGCTGATAATTCAGATGCTGGATTAGCAATATTAATAGAAAACCTTTTAATTGCAAACATAAGGAGCAGTAAACAAAGAAAAAACATTCTCATCAACACCACCGCACCTTGCCGAAGCTGCCTTTGCCGAGTACTTTGATAAAGTTAAAGTCCTTGAGGTTCCTCCTCTGGCTTTGTCCATTCTCCCTGGCCACTGAGGAGGAGGACGAAGAGGAGTTGGTGGAGGAGGAGGAAGAGGTGGAGTGCTGGGGCCCCTGCTGGTCGAGCGACAGTGCATCCTGCAGGCGATCTAACTCTGCCAAGTCTGTGGGAGTCATCGGAAAAGCGAATCAGACATCAGTGAAAATCGACTGATTGCCTTTTTTTCTGCCAATGTTTGGCTGTAGCACAAAAATGTGTGTGTTGTTGTTGTTTTTTTTTTTTATAGAAACATTTCTTTTGCTTTCAATTCTTCTTTATTACACTTTTAAGTTCATTTTAAAAACTTAAAAAACCAGGCATTAAAAATCACAGCCACATTAAAACCAGGGTGTGTGTGAGCACACACCAGTGATCAGGCCAGTCATCACTGCTATGGCCCATACAATCAAAAATGGGAGAAGGAAAAGTTCATTTTTCACTTCTCAGCTTGCGTTGTGTGATAAAGTGGTGACTAACTGTGAAAACCAAATGGTGGTGGGTGGTGCGCGTTTGTTTTTACAAAAACACATTTATGTACTTTTTTCCCTGCAAGGAGATACAGCATATTACTGAAATCAGAAGGATGCCTCTTAATAGTGGAACTGGCACATTTAAGTGCTGCTTGACTGTTGAGTTACCCTGCTGTGAGGGGGAGGTGGGGACAGCTGGCTGGCTGAAGCTGTTCTCCTCAGCTTGAGAGATCTCAGGAGGAGACTGGGGAGGGTCCAGCCCTGGAGTCAACTGGAAAAGGAGAGAAAACACGATTGTTCCTCTTTAAATCTTTTACTAGAATCATGAGTCAGAGATTTGCATCTCGGTTTCTCTGCCAAAGCATGTGATGCAAATTAAATCAGCACCTCTGCAGCTCAGTTATTATCATGTTAGACGTACAGGTCTACCACAGCACCAAAAACAAACAAACTGTGAGTTGGAAATGAGTATGGTTTGATCCAAATCCTAATAATAAGGCAACACAATTTTATTTAAAGATGCCTTGGTTCAAGTCCTAGATCTCCAATTTATTAAATTAACCACACATCTAAATATTCCAGATAAACAGCCAAAGCAGCATGTACAGATGAGTTTTAGAGACAAGCTAAAGCATAGTGAGCTATCCTTACTACTGATCTTTTTCAGTACATTTTTGGCTCATTGTGACTGATCACAAGATCTCTCTCCACTGGCCTAGGCAGACATGAAAAACAATGCTTTAAATGCAACACAAATGGAAAACTCTGAAATCTGTTTTAAATAGCGGATTAATTGCTCCAGAGCTCCAGAGAGGACTATTGGTGCGACTCCGTACCTTCCTCCTTCGCTGTGCGGTGTTGGAAATCTTATCAGGTGTCACGCCCAGGTCTGACAGAACCTTAGCAATTCCTCGGGCGTCGACACCACAGTTCGGAGCTACATTGGTCTCACATCGCCGGTGCACATTCATCTTACAAACTGCAAAACACAAGCGGACATGAGAGGGATCTATTTTAGTCAAAGAAGAGGTTCTGACTCAAACAATGAGCCATTGTAGACATAAAAGTGCACAGGCAAGCCACAGATGTCCATTAGTGTACTGCAAGTCCCTTTACTTATTTTACTTCAGGGCCCTTTTGTCTCTGATAATCCAGATCATATAAATATATTTTAGACCAAAAAGCGCATATATAGTGTTTGAATCTTCACAACATTACCAAAAAATATTAGTACAGCTATAAAAGCAGAAGGGAGAAAAGTTTGGCAGTCTGCAATAAACAAGTCTGCAATATAAGTCTGCAGTAAACATTTATTCTATTTTTCAGGTTCATGTCTTGAGTTTGTAAAATGTCAGAGAAACATGGAAATATTTGCTGTGAATCAACATACTGAATTTAAATTTTTTCTCAATAATTAGAACCAAATACTTGTAAAGTGACATTATGTTGCATTCTCAAATTGGACAGCAGGGGGCAAAACAACAAACGACAAAAAGAGGGCAGAATTGCCTTTTTATGGCATTTCTAATTATTTACCACCTCATTGGTTTGTGTCTGAAGTTTTAAGAAGTCCTTCAGAACTTTAAATACTTTGTATTTTGTAAAAAAAAAAAAAAAAAGGGCTGCATTATGAGTAAAGCAGCCAAAGAGTTGTATGATTCAGGCCATGGCTATTACAAGGATAGTGTCCTCTTTTTTTGTAGCTCCTTTCACCTTTAAGTACGTTCTTTTCAGTTGTTAAATGGTGTTTCTTACTATGCATATAGAAGAGAAACTTGGGATTTATTGTCTTGTCCAAATTGCTTGAACGTCCTTGCTTTTAGTGGACAACTGATTCTTCCACCTGTTCCACGGCCTCCCATGGTGCCTCTACACTCCATATCCATGCACATGTTTGCAACTTCTGTGAAACTCCAAGTGCTCTCTGATTGTCCGATTTGATTTTACAAATGCAGATTTTATTTTAGTTCAACTACAGAACAATTAAAAAAATGTAATACTAAAAAGCTCATTCCAAGCTTTTATCATACAATTCAAAAGTAGCGAAAGACAGACTTAAATAGCTGTGACCTTATGGACTCTCTGTAAATTCCCAACTGTTCATGAACTCACCTTTGCACTGCAGGCCCTGCCTCATGAGGCCCCACAGCAGCGAGCCACAGTGGTCACAGAAGGTGGGAACTTTGTAGTTGTGGATACTGAACTTGTGGGGCATGTTAACACTAAACCGCTGTGAACCCACCTACAGAGGGAGACGCACACAGAAACACACAAAACCAGGGCTAATAAATAGAGGCTACAATGCAGACTTTAATTCAGAAACAAATCTAAATACGAAATATCTGAATGGTGTTTCTGTCCAACTGCATTTAATCCAATGACAATGTTTGCATGATCCTCACTTATCTATCTCCAAATAAATAATGAACATTAAGCAGGAAATGTCTGAAACTCTTCCAATGAATATTTGCATGTTTGCAAAGCGCTTGCGTGTCTACCTCCTCCGGTGTGTCCTCCTGCTTCTTCATGCCGGCACACTTTGTGATGATGAGCTCATGGCAGCGCTTGTGGACGACACACGTGCACACTGGAAACACCAAGATGACACATATTGGTGAACTCAGCCAAACTGAAACTTACCTGAACTGTGGAACTTTACTGGTGGAAGGGAATCATATCTGTGACGCAACGATTAATTATAATTTCATTTTTTTTTCGATCAGAGGTGTAGAACTGACATTTAAAGAGCAAAAGATGACTTTATACATACTGTGTACTGCAGTCTTTTGTGCATTAACAGGAATGTTTGAACAGTAACTTGTAAGGTGGCACTGACACTCTGCTCTAGTTGATAATTTACCCTTTTTCATCACAGGTCCTTGTTAGGAGCAAATTAAAAAGTGCAAAATAAATTGAATTGGTGTTAATGAATTAATTATTACTATTTACCCGGTCTGTGATCCTATTATTGTAACTATAAGGTGAAAGATTATTTTATAAACCAGCTGGAGTAATTATTATCATATTGTTAGATACTTCACAGCCATTGTAGAGGAAAAACAGCACACTTCAAAATATCACACTAGACTATCCTGAAAACTATGTCAATGTTTTTGAATGTGTCACTTAGGCCCTTTCCTGTTCTGCTCTTCCTCTTGACAGAGCACACTTTTCACTGAATATATCGCATGCCTCTGTCAACATTTTGGCTTCCTGCAGAATTTTCAGATTGCTGTCATCCAGAGAGAAAATAAAGGCCCCCCGAGGTTGTGCTCCTAAAATGTTTCAAATTCCTTATTCTTACACTTGCTGGTGTATTGTGGTAGATGTATGGATCGGGGTGTTGGCCCAAAAGCAATCACAGCTGTCACTCAGCAACACTTTATCCCCCTCGCTTTCTTATGTTTGAATAATAAATGAGGCGCGATGTTACTTGAGAAATTAGAATGTGCCAAACAAAAGTACTCACCCTGACACTGGTATCCCTGCTTTCCCAGCACTCCCCTATCAGATCACACACACAGAGGAGTCAGCATGTCAGCTGGGTTGCTCCAGTGAAACTTAAGCTCAGGTACTCTATGGTTGGGTGAGCCAGATGTGCTTGTGCGTTAACCTACCAGATAAAATCTCTGCAATGTGAGCAGTAAGTTGGCTGTCTCAGGTAGGTGGCCATAAACTTGTGCCCGTTGACCTGATGGACGCGTCTCCGGACGGCGCCCTGCCGCCGGCGGGGGCCGATTCTCTCGCGAAACACTCGCTCCTCATTCTCGTTGGCTCCCGAAGCTGTAAACGGACACGACAGCAAAAAAAGAGGAATGTCGACGTTTATTTCGAGTATTCACACTTGTGCTTTCTTACACCTGTCGATTTTATTTCGGTGTGGAGCATGTAAAAATAAGGAGCATTTGCATGGTGTTGCTCAGGATGGTTAATCATCAAATGACCTCTCATCTTCCTCCATCCCCCTCCTGCAGCCCCACACCTACCAGAGGCCTATAGATATGTATGCGTGCGAGCTATTTATACGTCCATGTGTGGGCACATAAAACGAAGGACATCGTATTAAAATACTCCTCCTCAGCGAGCACCATCCAACCAGTCCTTCACTTCCTCCCCGTATCTCCCCGGAAAGATAAATGCTTTCCGAGGATAACCTTAAGACAAGAGAACCGCCTCCACTCTCCCTCCCACACACACTCCTTCTCTCTGTGCTCCTGTCCTATTTAGCCTTTCTTTCACTCTCCCGGCATCTCTCTCCGGGGTGCGTTGTCGATGTGGTTACTGCTGAGCCTCTCCAGAGTTCCATTACAGACAGAATGTCTTGGGACTCGGGAGGTGTGTGCGTGCTTGTGCAAAAAAATGTGTGTTTCTGCATATCGGTGTGTGCAAGATGGTGGTGTTGGCTTGAGGGGAACAGCAGCAAAACAGGCCATTACTGGAATTATATTGTTTTACATAATACATCATCCATCTGTCTGGGAGTAACACACACACACAAACACAAACACACACACACGTGCACAGAGTATGCTGACAAGGAGAGGAGATGAGGCATAACAACTGTTAAGAGCTATCGTCTTGGAGACAGACGTACTCTGGACCAGATGAATGACCAACTGGGAGTTGGTCATCCAATAAACACACACATGTTGTGATTTGACACACAACAGACCAGCAGGACAGGCGGACAGAGCAGGAAAATACGACAAAGGAAAAGGATAATATAACGAGGACAGTAAACTTAGACATGACACATAAAAGCCTGTTTGTTGTGTGTTAATTTCACACAGAATAATTCACTTTTCTCTCTAAGCAAAAGAAAAGAGGAGTTGCTTACAGGATCCTTCTCTCTCTCTCTCTCTCTCTCTCTCTCTCCCTCTCTCTCTCTCTTTCTCTCTCAGTACATATACATATATATGTATATATATTCATATAAATATATAGAGAGAGAGACTCAAAATTAACTTCTATGTTTTTGGATAGCAGTTAAAGTTTGAAATTGTATTCATGGATATACTGAAGGTACCGAAAGATAATTTTTGTACAGTGATTAAATTTCACTGTCCTTTTGTCCTAATGAATAAAATAATTATTTCACTATATAGAAACTGCACAGTAAGTTTTATTTTTTAAAACATTTTAATGAAAACCTTTAGTTACTTTGGTTAGACTTCAGATTTAAAATATGAGAGAGGGCATTTGAAAAGGAACAAAAAATATTGAGAGCAGTGGAGAGGATGGAATTTAGAAACACAGAAGGAGAGGATGCAGATGGCCAGATTAGGGGAGATTATTGTTATGCGCGTCTCGAAACTGACAGATGCAGCAGGATTGAGAGGAGCAAGGAGGAGAGAAGAAAAGGGAAGAAGGAGAGGAGCACGTCCTTCCAGCATCTGAAGCAGCAGCGAACAGATTGCACCAAGGGGAAAAAATAAATCTTCTAAAAATACCACCTCTTCCTCTAGTTCTCACCCTCCATCTCTCCAGCCCTTACTGCTCTCCATCCTTTCTACCAGCACACACACACCATTTGTTTTTATCAGTATACATTAACACGATGAGCTCTTGAGCCATCTGAACTACGGGGAGGAAGTTCAGAAGTGGGCGGAGAGTGGGTCGTGAGGTCACAGCAGAGTGGCCAATCATCGACGAGGAGGGCACGACATGGATGCCTGAGTCTGGTGTGTGTGTCAGTGGGTATGTGTCTAATCCGTGGCTCAATCTCACCTACTATTTTGAGAAACTACTCACTTTCTCTCCTCTCTCCACAGCCCCCTTTATCCACCTTTACACAGAGACATATATTCTGCATTCTTCTGCTGGGCTTCTCTGCCGCATTCACCTTCACTCAAGTGATCCCGCACACACAAATCTATGTTTGTTTGTATGTATGTGTGTGTGTGTATGAGATAAATAGATAGATAGATAGATAGATAGATAGATAGATAGATAGATAGATA